CCTTCGTAGTCTTTCCTAAGCAATGCATCAGTGCTATCTATTCTCCTTCCCTTCTCCCCAAAGTCATTTTTGCTGATGGGAGCAAGCTGTCCTTCCCAGGGAGGCTCTTTGCAATAGCAAAACCTGGTCTGCTGGCATCGCTTCTTCTCTTCCTCTTCCAGACATTGCTGTCCGAACCTTCTGTCACAACTTCTTCCTGGAAATCTCAACTCCAGGGAACTGAGAAGTTGCTCCTCTCCAGTATCTATTGTACATTCAGTCCTCTGGGCAAAAACTTACCACAGACTGATAGCTGTGGGACGATGCCCACGGAGGGGCATTTGGACTCAATACGCTGGTTTGTGATAGGTTGGCCCTTTCCAAGCATCTAAGAGCAATCAACTTTTGTAAATAACTTAAAGGGTAAAATACACAATTAATTCTTTCATATGAGGAGAAGCAGCGTTGCATAGCAAGAATGAGCATGAGACAAGAAGTCATAAGACACGAGTTCCAGTGCTAGCTCTGGTATGCGTTAGGTGTGGGTGGCATATGGTTACGGCCCAGGGGCTGTTTCCTCTTCAGTAAAATGGGGATGATTCATAACAGATCCCCTGCCCAACTCACAGAACCGCCGTGAGGAAGTAGTAAGGTAACATGAGAAAGTGTTTTATAATAATGGCAAGGCGTGAGTCTTTATTTCCTTGGGTTGAAAAAAGCTTTTTGGTAAAATTGGAATTGTCATTGTAATATGCAACCAATTGGCCCTTACATTTGATTAAGCATGTGCAATAATTTTCCTTTCTGTCATAAGTTTTTAGTCTTTGCTTCAAAACTTTGTGTATTAAGTAGGTTGCTACCATAATCCCCATTATGAATGAGGAAAATAAAGCATGGAAAGCCAAAATCATCTTTAAAAAGGTATAGCCTAGATTTGGGGTCCCCTCATGGTTTTACCGAAACTGCTCTGTAACCACACCTCACTGCCTAATCTATTGATCCCACCCTGAAATATCTGATTTGCCCATTTTATTCTACATTTATATCAGGCCTTTTTACAACTCCCAGCTTCAACACGCTTTCCTCCCCCTACTTGGAATGCCCTTGTGTCCAAGTCTCCATCTGGCAAACACCTGCTCATTGTTCAACCCAGTTTAATCATTACCTCCTCTGTGAAGCCCTTCTCAATTGTTTTATGCAAATTTATGGATACTGCATCTGTGTCTAAGAAACACCATATGCAACCTCTATTTTAGCTCTCATTGCAACACTATGAGGTGCTTATTTACCTGTCAGGACTCCTCAGTCTCAGAGCCTCTTTCTTACTGATCTTGAATTTCCAGCCCTGGCGGTGCTGCATCAACCAGGTGTATCAGACATAATTGTAAATTGTTGACTACTAAATAAAACTGTATTATTTTACCGTGGTATTTTGACTGAGGAAAATGAAACATTTAAACAATAACCTACCAGTTCTTTTTCAGAACCTGAAGGATGTTGATTCCCTTTTTTGCACTGGGAAATTTGAGGTAGAAGCTGTTAAAATAAAAAGGAGAACCTGATATCATAATGTGAGAACGTTAAAACATTCAACACTATCTGCCTTACCAATGACAATGGTTCTTTCTGGAGCCTTGATATCACGTTGTATTAAATTTAAGCATCTTATTGATTCCTCAGTTGAGTTTTTGTGTAAATGTACGTAATTTTGTAATTGGCCTCTATCCCAGAGTTACCATGGCTACTGCAAAGTTTTCGTCGTATTTACAACCATTTCTAGGGTTCTCCCTAAGAACCAATTGTTTCTTTTACAAAAGTGGACTGTCTTCCAAAATAGGCCCCACACGTATCCATGATGACAAATCAGTAGATAAAACTTATAATGGGCAGCCAGTAATGTTTTCCCCACCCCACTGTTTAGACTCCCCTGAAAACAAACCAACAACAAAAAATCTATCCACACACACAGAGTATATTTGCTTATTTTTTGAAATAATACCAAATGTATTTCTCCCTTCTCGAAGTCTCCATCCTAAAACATTTCTAAGGGGATTTTAAATGCTTATTTTCATATCCTTAGCCTAGGTTATTAGCGTTTTCTGATATAAAATACTTAAGCTTTGATCAAGACTCCCACAGTAATCACAGGATATGCATTCTGTTCTCTTTAAGGCTTTGTTTAAAAAGTAGAATTGTTTGTATAAAATGTTACAAACATTGTAAAAGTAAAAAATATGTGATGTCTACATGACCTCTCACTACTGTTGAATTTTTCTTTTCAGAGCTTTTCTCAAGCACTTAGAATGTGTATATGTTGATCGAAAGCAAATACTTCCTGCAATTTATTACCTTAAAAACCCCCACTTATTACTTACAGCAGGACCAAGTGAAACTGGGGGCAAATACTAGTCATTACAAAGACTTAGATGGCAAACTATCTAGTACCAATTTGCCTGTCACTTTCTCCATTTAATCTTAAATGGCATTATCAGTGGTTCTTAGTAATTGAAACTTTGAAACCAATTTTTTAAGAACAGTACTAAAGGACAGTTGATTGAAAGGACACTGGTTGATTACTACTGGTTCCTTCTGTTACTACAGAACAGTATTGGGTCCAATATTAGATCAAGAAATGAAGCAAACGGTGAACAGTTAAGCACTTACTGGATGTCTATTATAAGTCATTTTAGCACAAATGTGTGTCCATATTTTACCATCTGTAGAAATGAAAGATATAAACACAACCCAATATTTCATAATGATCACTCTAATATGGTGGCATTTGGGATGTTTGTAAATATCATAGAAACAGACAGAAGAGCCAGAATTCATGTTCAGAAACTTGTCAGTCATGCATGTGGACTCCAGATTTGTTGCTCTACAGCAAAGACACAATGGAGAAAAAATTTTTTTCAAAGACGCATAAAATGAAGAATACTTGTGTTTGTGTGTCACACTGCATTTGTGTAGAAATATAACAGAAATACATTTCCAAGTATTATTTAATCAGCGAAAGTGAGCTCTTTTTCTAGTCTCTTTTTAGTACCTTACTGTGTGTACACACACACACACACACACACACACACACACACACACACTCACACACACACAAGCTCAATAAAGCTTGGCAGAAGGAGTATTAATTTCCTATTTAAATACGATCTTTCTAGAATTTACCACAAATTTGCATATTTTATCCATTTGGCATCATTAATTTCTCCCAGGAAGTTTTAAAGAACATTGTCAACCTCCTCTCACCTACTTTCTCACAATTACTGGAAATACATCAAATTCCAGAGAAGCTCTCTGGTCAAAGACACTTTGAGAAGGTAATGACTCTCCTGTCAACGCACACCTGACCTCCATGTGCAGCGACCCCGGGAACGGGGTGTCCTAGGCCACTTCAAGCTGTAGACAACCCTCACATGCAGAGACTACACCACTGTGCTGCTCTCTCTGAACCCGAGCTCACCATACCCCCATGGCTACCCAGCCCTGAAGGCTCTGAGGGGTCTCGCCTTGGAGTTGCTGCCTCCCTGCAGAGCACTAGTCAGGTCGCGCTGGGCGTTTGGGTAACAATCAGTTATGGTTTCCGCTTTCCAGAATTCTTTGGGCCACACCCCTTTCATGAGAAGTTTGCTCTTTTCTACACCAATAAATCTACTACTCTCCTTAGAAATTGGTAGAGAAGAACTTAATTTTATCTCACTATTAAATCTTATTTAGTTTTTCATTGAGGTGTCCTTTTTCTGACTAAAAATCTTTTCCAATTCCTATTGAGTTCACTCTTCTCCAGGTAGTCAACTTTCTCAACTAAATTGTCCTATCTAGTCTCACTTGCAGTCATAGATTGGCCCCTCTTCCTTAAATTCTTCCCTTTGCTACATTCTTTCCATCTTCACCTTTTGTACCTGAAAACAAAATGAATTAATGAGACATTGTCTCAGCTTCCTGTGCCAAACTTTCCAGATTAAGGATAACTATGGTTGGAAGCTTTCTCCCACTAAAATCCTCCTCTCTACCACAACCATATTTAGTGACTCTTTTCTGCATTCACAGAATAAGTAGCTTATTGTTCCAATGCTTATCAGAGAGCGTGTTTTGTCATAGGCACTCAATAAGAACAACAGTGTCCTTTGACAGAATTGGGTTTAAATTTCAAGCATTACCGCGCATTTCCCCAAAACCTCCCTTGTTATGTCTAGTCTACACCTGGAACCTCAGGTCTTCCACCCTAAGATGCTGCTCAGCTCCAGTTTACCTGAACCAGACAATTCTTATTCTTGTTCTGAGTTACTAAAGCCCTTGGGATTGTCCCAGCTCCTGTAATCCTGTAGAATTCCCAAATATATGTCCCAGAGACCCCTCTCACCCAATGCTCTCCTAGTCAAACCCTCAGAGTGGTTGGCCTGTCCCTCTCGAGACATTGAAGATTGACTAAATGGAATGAAAGGGCAAAGACAAAGTCAAATATAAATCCAGTGGTTCGAACTTGAGTGGATGGAGAATGATGGTTTTGGTGGCAGAAAACCAGGTCTGCAAAGAAGGATGATGTAAATTTCGCAAATGCTGTTGCAGATTCTGACGCATTTTATCTTTTTAGCTATCAATGGAGGAAAATAAATGGAAAACAAACGATGAATAGAGCTAACCAAAAGTCAAAACGGCATTAGTCCAAAGAGTAGCATAATAATGTATATCAAATATTAAGCATATAATCACGTAAGTATCTCACAGATTTTAAGTAATTTTAATTATATAAGGATAAAGCCAGAATGTATAACAGTATCCATTTCTGACTTCTCATTTACTTCATGATTTTATTTAATAATGATTCCCTTTCTTTTAGTTGACACGGGCTTACCTGCCATTTTAAAATGGCATTGCTTTTTTTTGTACACTACATATCCTCACAGAGTTGAAAATAAAATTCTTCTATGAAATTATTTTCCTGCAATTTTTTATTTTCTTTAAGTGATTGGTTTTCCCTAGACAAAATAAAGTGTTATGCTACATTACAGCCTCACTGTTAGGAACGAAGAAAGAGGTGAAATGGCAGAAAGACCCACACATACCACAAAAATGGAGAGTATCCAGGTCCTAGAGGAAAGGTGAGTGTGATTCACATTATAATTATGTCTTGTATTTATATACTGTTTACATCTACTCAGTGCTTAAGTATCGGCTCTCGCTTCCTGTTACTCCTCAGAATGGTTTTGTGAAAATGAATGCATACTCACTCTGAGAGACCTTATTCTGTGACTGCAATCACTTGTCATCAGTTTTTCTGTTAGCTGTGTGAAGCTGATGGCCAAAACACTGCCTGACTTTCTCTTTCAAAAAATAATGATTGTTGCATGAATTAGGCCCCCACCCCAATTGTCTTAATTCGTGACTTCTCTTTTCTGAGAATATTTCTTTAAGTCGTTCTCTTTATAGGGGAAGAGTCTAAAACGAAAAAAAAAAAAAAAAAAAGGAATTACTTAAGTCAGCTAGAAAGGGTACCCAGCTGGGCCCTGGTCCCATTTCCATCAGAACTGACTCTAACCAAGTATTTCTCCAAAATGAGAAGTCGAAGTGCAGTACTACATTTACAGAATAATCAAAATCAAAATACAAGTGGATTATTTGTATAATTATAGGTGCTTTCTTTTTCTGCTTGCAAGAAGGTTTTAATGTTGATGCTTTATAGTAATTTTTTCTCCTTTAAATTTTTTTTTAAATGAATAAGGAAGTTCCAATATTTTGGAATAGTAAAAATCTATTTAAAATACTTGGTCAGAAAGCTGTACACACACACACACACACACACACACACACATTCTTTGACCAAATGTATTTTAGGCTAGAAAATTTTTAAATAAACCAATAAATAGGAAAGCAAGATTAGAATCATAAGAATTTCCAATTTATTTCTTCCATTTTGGTATATAAGGAAAGGGAGTAATAACTGGTGGCTTCTGCAGGAAAAGTCACTGCAAACCTGAATATAAATATCTAAAATGTCCTCAGTGTCATTATAAAGGCCCTGTGCTTTGTAACTGTGATAACTCCATTCATGGGTAACCATTTGTAATATTTAATAGAATAATTAATCAAGTTTAGGAAAATATTTGAGAAACACACAATGTATTCTTATTTTAACTCCAGTGATAAGTGAAAAAAATAGCTACCAGAGATTAAAAGAGACACTGTATCTTATAGTTTGAAAATAGAAATCTACATGAGGTACAAACAAAGGATTCTGTTTGCCCTTTAAACAATGTATAGACTATTTCTATCAACTTGGACTATATTAATGTTTGAACATTTCCAAACTTCATTAGTTTATGATGACCACATACAGAGTGTGGATAGCCCCTTGCTATTTGAACATCTGGCTCCCTAACATGCAGCTTGCACTTAACACAGATTTTTGTCAATACTCCAAAATAACTAATCTAGTACTGGCAGATATTTGCCACATCAGGCTGGAATGAGTGGCAATGACCACTAGATGGCAGCAACTGAATAGCATTTCTTATCTGTTCCTTCTACCTGGGCTAGTATCCACAGGTCAAGGTCGCCTTTGATAAATGGCCCGTTCTGTCTCTGCAGCCAAAACCCCACTTCAGATGAAGTCTTGTCCTGGTCTCAAAATTTTGACAAGATGATGAAGGCCCCAGCAGGAAGAAACCTTTTCAGAGAGTTCCTCCGAACAGAATATAGTGAAGAGAACCTGCTTTTCTGGCTTGCCTGTGAAGACTTAAAGAAAGAACAGAACAAAAAAGTAATTGAAGAAAAGGCCAGAACGATATATGACGATTACATTTCTATACTATCACCAAAAGAGGTAAAAATCTGGAAAACATTGATGTGGGCTTCCTAAGACGGAGGACGAACCTAAAAGGACTTCTGTCTAAACTGGGTAATGCATGGAGTGTGGACAGGCGCAAAGGCTTTTCTGGGTAGATAATTTAGATTCCTTTCTGAGCATCTACCTGAACATGTGTTTGAAAACTAGGTTTTCCCACTATGCTTTGATCATTTATCTCTGGCTGAATCTGTGGTGATCTACTTGCTTTTCAGAACTAACATTAGGAAATGTCTGTTAAATACAATTTGCTACCACTTAAAAAGTGAAAAAGAACTTACTATGGGGCAGTGTTTCCCAAAGTGTGATCCCCAGATCACCTGTATGAAGTTCACTAGTGGCGTTTGTTTGAAAAGCAAATTCTTGAGGCCTTCTGAATCTGAATTTTTGGAAATAGAGCCCAGGAGTCTGCACTTGAAACAAGCTTTCCACCTACATACGAGTTTGAGAACCTCTGATTATAAGGGCTCCCCAAAAATGCCATGTTTGTTGATGAATATGAGACAATTTTTACAGAACTAAAGAATGAGCCTTTGTGACCCATTAATATTCTTAGGGAGAGATAGGTAATGGCAATGATTTTACTTATTCTACTTTTCCTGTTATTGAAAGTGCAAGCTATTTTTCCCATGTCAGAATATACCTAATAAATAAGGAACATTTCAAGTAACCAAACTAATACTTTTCCATCAACTTTTTAAAAATGACTTCGCTTCTGAGAAATGTTCCAGCCACGAGAGTTAAAAGCGTTGGATGAGGGAGGGGTCAACAGTGTGCCCAGGCCTCAGGAGTGCTGAGTGACAGTGTCCAGAGGAGCTTTCAACTTCAAGCATTTGAATTTAGAGGTTCCTAGGATGCCTTCTCTTCTCCACACCACCGTTTGTCTTTTCTTGTCTCTCCTAAACCACTGTGATTTTACCTGTGCATCTGAATGTCCTGACCTAGTACCTTCTGCTCCCAGAGATTAGCCAACACACCCATCTCTTACATGCATGGCCATTTATGAAGTCCCCTGTAGACAGGCTGTTCTCAGTGCCTCATCCAACACCTGATGTGGCCCTGACTGCAACACTCCTTACCCTGGAATCCGTAAAATGGATTCGCATCTACTTTAGCAATCTCTATATTTCACCTCTGATGAGATAGACCTAAAGAATTAAACAATTTTTTGATTAGGTTGTAAGTGCCATTGGTATTCTAGAGTATTCCAATCATATTGTGTCTACAAAGTGAGAAAGCGTGAATTGGATACACAAAAGATTATTTTTATTTTGTATTTCCCGCATTAACATTAAAAAAGTATTCATAGAGAATTTTTCTGTAGCCACAATACATTTATTACTAATGCCACTTTATATTTCTAACACCATTATAATTCTACATCCTAAAAATACATTTTTAGGTTTCTGGTCTATCCAGAACCTCAGCATTTCACCAGTTCTACTTGAATTTTATTAGCACATTAATTTCTTTCGAATTTTTGTTTTAATATTACATTACATGGCAAATATATCAAATGATTGAAATGGGCCCAAAGACGTGTTTCACTTGCCCATAATTCTACATAATTAGAGTCCTTGGGAAGCTTATCTAGTCTGTTTCTCTCCCCAAAATGTGTAATATGTATCATCTTAAAATGATCATTGTTCCATTTTAAAATAATGGTACTAGAAAAAGGATTCTCCATATTAAATACACATAATTCCTTTGTTTTACAGTTTTCATGTTCTAATTTTTAGTGTTTTATGGGAAGCACTCCTCCATTGTCCTCACAGCCCCTGATTTTCAGATGTCACTGACTGATGGAGCTTTGTAAAATACTTAATTTTCATAAAATTTCTTCTTCTTTGGGCCATACATTAGAGCTATCATAGTTATCAATTACTGAAATATAAACTATTGGATTTTCATTCTTTTGCAAAAGTAATAGAGTTTTGTTTTCACCTAATTTCTTGACCTTGAAAATGAGTTTCACCCAACAGTCATTAAAATATTATTTCCTGATCCAGAACGCAACTTTTGCTAAATTAAATAGACTAATATTTAATGTAATAGCCATATTTATTCTCTCTTTTATTTTCTTAACATCTACAATTAGGCCATTACTCACTCTTTAATATTCTCAAAATACTACGGAGAGAGAGAGAGAGAGAGACAGAGGTGAAATGCAAATTTTTATCATTATGCTACTTTTGTGCTCACTTGACAGAAAATCTAAATTATTGGGCTGTATGAAGTGCCTTTGTTTAGCCAAAAGATTGCTTTCCTATCAACATAGTAATTATATTGAATTACTGTTTAGCAGCAAAAACAAATAAACCAAAAGTAGATATTTGCAATTATAAAAGACAGTTGTTAAAAAGTTATTTTAAGCCAGGGTGTAGATATATGGACTCTTGAACCACATCAGATGACTCACTGATACACTCGCAATATGGCATGCACTTCACAGCAATCCCAGAGTCCTTTCCCCGCTCATATCTCACTGACCTTTCTGTGCAAAAACTTGTCAATTTCTAATCATTTACAATACATTACAAACGGTCTCATAGTACTGAGTTCTCACCCTTCCAATTGTGTTTGCCAGCACTGCAGAGAATTCTTGTCACATCACAAGAGCCCTGACTATACAGTGGTAAGAACACTGAACTAATGTTCAGGTACCCAGGATTCTAGTCCTGGCTATCTTTCAGCCTAATTGTGTGACCTGGGATAAATTAGTTCACTTGTCCTCAGTATTCAGTTGATTTTACAAAAATCAAAAGGAGCACAGAGAACAGTAAACCAAATGCGGCAGCATTAAGGATCTTGCCCTACTGCTCCGTTCTCCCCATCGGATGACAGGGCTAATCAATCACGGTCCTTATCGCTGGGCCCAGATTCACCTTTAGAGTCTCTCAGCACAGTACGCTGAGCAGTCATTCCAAATTAACTGGAGCTGGGATCGTTTCCCATTTTGGGGCCAGGTAATCTGGCCTTTCTACCTCTGAAATTCTGTAACTTTTTCTACCTATTCCAAATATTCGTAAAGAACATGAACATTTGAATAACTTAAAAAATGGTAATAACTAAATAGCTAAAAATTATCAGGATTTTATTCTTAACCAGAACCTCGTTTTTCTTCACTGGATTTTCATTTTACCTTAATTAGTTACCATATTTCTCTTCGTTAAATTTAGAGAAAGTCTACATTCTTTACATTACTTAAATGTACATACTTATTTCCTTCCAGAGCCAGTGTGCTGAAAGTTACATTTCATTGTTTAAGAACATGTTTTAAGCATTTTTAATAATTTGAGTATTATGTTACAAAATAGATGTTTGCAATCAGGAGGCAATATAACTTTCATTTCTTGGTATAGCATACATTTTAAGAGGGAAAAGGGCCACATTTAAAATTTTTTTTAAATCTAAAATTACAAATAGCATTTCTTTAAGAAGTCAATTTTCTTTTATGTGGTGTCCTCAAAGAGAAAACAAATGGAGGTAACTAAGAGGAATTTAAGACTACTAGTAGCCTTGCTGAACATAGCAGATGCTGGTGGCAGCTTATAATTTATTAAGTATCGAAAAGACAAACCCAACGAAATAAAGAACTTTAAAAAAAAAAACGTTTAAAAGCTATTACCAACTATAAACAGCACTGAGCTATTGAACAAAGAAATAATTATAAGTCTGCAATAAATATAAGACTTTTAGCTGAACTTCTGAAAATTGTGTGTGTTCAGTCATCTGCAAAGGCCAGTGGCGGCGCTGTGTCTGCTGGGCTGCAGCCCAGTCCTGCCACTTACTGTCCACGTGACGCCAAGCAACTCAGTTCAGTGCTCTGCAGCCTTGGCTTCCTTGCTTGGAATCAGCTCTAAAACTCACTAAATCTATGACTTTCAGGCTCTGCCATAGTGCAATTCTAATAGTAGTAGGAATTGTTTGCTTTTTCTGATTTCACCCTAAATTTCCAGTTGCTAGCTGGAAGAAAAAAAGCAATAAACCTATTTAAACACCAAAATTATCTAAGAATAATGCAAATGTGATAGGCACGTAGATTCTCTCTGTGTATATGCCTTTTCAGAAAAACTGTGAATGTAGCACTTTCAGTGATTTAAGTCAGCTTTTTATAAAGAGGACACATTTGATTATATTTTCCTAGATTCATTTATTTGCGCATGCATATTATCATTCGAAATAGGCTTAATGAGTATTTTCTATTAGCCAGATTCTGGGCTAGATGTTGGGGATATGATGGGTACAACAACAGTGACAAAAAAGACATCGGCTTACTCCTTTTAGAACTTACATTTTAGGAAGACAGACAAATTAGGTCAAAAACGAGTAACTACAAATTGTGAACATTATGAGGTCTAATGATATAGTTTAGAATAGGGCTAGTCGTGTAAGGTCACTCTGAAAAGGTAAAATTCAAGTTGATACAGTCTAAAGACATTGGGTTTGGTCAAAAAGGTATCATCATCATCATGATCAATTATTATTACTATTATTACTTTGCATTGGGCTTAAACTCTGTTGATGAAATGGTCTTACATATATTATTATGTCTCACAATGATCCTTTAGCCACTAAGAAAGTGACACCATTTTACAGCAAAGGAAACTTATTCTCAAAGAGGACATTAGAATTATATCTGGTAGAGAGAGAACACAAGCCCAAGATCTTCTGATTCCAAACTCGGTGCTCTTCCAACTACAGTACGTTAATGAGTTATTCCATTGTCTAGCGTTTTCTTCAGCACCACTACAGATTTCTGTGAACCCCACCTTAGAACATGAGGCAAAATGAGAAACAGCCACCTTAACTGCATGCCTGGACTCTCTCTCAGACAAGCAAGATAAATTTTCCCTACCCTACGAAAAATATGGTTACTGCCCTTGATTCTATCAGTGGTCTTTGCTCCAAGAAACAAACTCCAACAATCAGTCTTATTTGCAACTGGTAATTATTTTCAGTAGAAATAATCTACACAAAATAATATGACTAAAAGTATACATAGTAAACGTTTATTAAAACCGATAGGAGAATCAGATATTCTTTAGATCTATAAAATTTAACATAAGAAAACCAAATTTAGTTAAAATTAAAAATATGGCAGAAACTCTAACTGCTAAAATTCAGTATAAACTCACAAAGAAAAAATATTAATCAGAATTTTACTTAAAAAAAGGATCCTAATTTAAGCAACTTCAGTAAAATTAAAAATAAAATGGAAAAACATGGGGAAATAATCATGATAACATAAAAAAAAATTAGTCTAGGAATTAACTTAATTGACTTAAAGGAGGGTCTCTGAGAGAAAAAAAAAAGGCTTTCAATGGAAATTCATCATTTTCAGTTTAATTCTGCCAAAAATGTCCACAGAGTCAAAATTTCCATTACATCTTGATGGGTAGAACAGGAAGCCAGGGTCAAAACTTGGTGCGCTCTCTTTCAGCGACAATCACCTGTCTTGATGTTCTCCTCCACTGGGTAGGAAATCTGGTAAGATTAAGCATGGCTTATAGCTCAGTTTGACCCGGGCTCTCCCAAATTCTGCCTTCATTCTCTCTTTACCTCTGCACCCTTGAAACTTTAGCTCTCATTACATTTTCCTCCCAATGAGTTCGTGGAGTTGCCAGTGGATATTTTTTATGTTTACAAACCACTTGCTTTTCTTCCCCGTCTCCTACCTTCTGTGGGAATGAAAGCTTCCACAGTCACTTATGCTTTTTTAAAGCTTCAGTTGCCACCTCTCAACACTGCCAATGTTCCGAGCACTGCTCAAACTGCCACTTAAATGCCACCAAATCTATCAGTGCTGTCTTGTGCCCTGTCCCACAGTAATTTTTTTTAAAACTCTTATGGCTGTGCTGCACCCTCCCTCCCCCCACCTAAATGTGAGACCGAGGACTAAGAAAGGACAGTTCTTGTCTGTGCTGCTCAACTTTCTCTTCCCTTAGGATGAGTTCTTTTCAAGAACCTCCTCAGTCCCTCCTGTATTGGACCCAGATAAGATGGCATTATAAGCCACCTAGTTGTGCCTGAATCCTAGGGTGACGTGGGCTCAGGCCCATGCTGGGATCCACCCCCACTAACTTGTATTATAGATGTTCCACAATCTGAAGCACAAAGATGCCACAAGATGAAACTATAGATTGTTAGCTCCATGGGGTTTGTCCTTGTTATTTGACCTCCCTACACTTCTTTTGACTGACCGACAACCTTTTCAAACAAACAACCAGATATGAAGGTAAATATTTTCTTTTTTAAATGGAAATAGCAAATGCCTTTTTGTTATAGATTACTAATTGTTGAATGGTACTATTTTCTCCATGCTATTTCACTACTGTTTTTAATTTGAAAACAAAGAAAATTTTACAATGAGGACTCAAGATATTTAACAATTCAAGTTTTTTTTTTATTTCTGTCTTAGATAACTAATATGATTTCAGCTACTGATAAAGTGTTATACTATATTTAATTATGCTATTATTTAAGAAATAAGTGACCTTTCTTTACCACTAATTTAACGTTTCATTCTCCACTGAAACAAAAAGTTCTCAAGTTTGAAAGTAAAGTGCCGTTTATAAAAACAGTGGAGTGTGTTCGGTAAGCTTTCTCATGACACAGTAAGATCAGTCAGTTTAAACTCCAATGTCAACATTTTCCTGATGAGCAGAAACACAAGTTATATTTTTAAATAAAAAGCTTAGGAAAAAATTCCATACTTTTTATTTTATACTTGATTATGATTTCATATGGCAATAACACAGAATAAAACGTAAATGATCTAATTCTAGAACATCTTTTTTTCCCCATTTCCTGACAAAGAACATATAGTTCTGCCAAGAGATGCTTAATTTTTTTTTTTTTTTCTGTATTAAGTTGGTCTAGCCAAACCACAGAAAATTAATCTGGACCACTGTTTCCTGACAAATCCTCCCATAGCAGCCTTCCCTTGGGTGTATCAACCTAATTCCACATGGACCACAAAACTCAGGAACGTGGGGACACCAGATGGAATATGAGTGGCCTCCATCACTGGGACTGTTTCAGATCCCAGGCTTAATTTAAACGGTGGGTGGGAAAAGAAGCCAGAACCCAAAAGCCTTTTGCAAAATGCTTATGATGAAACGTTTAGATATAAATATAAAAGGTTCGTATAAACTTGAGTACATAATGGAACAGATAACTATGGATCAGGATGCCCGAGTCCTTGTTCAACAGTTAGAACTGAGGAAGCCAATCAGGACTCAGTGATAATTTGCCCCTTGGAGGGTTTCGCTAAAATGTCATTTCAGGGCAGAGCTTAGTTCTGTCCACCAAGCATATCCTTATTGCTATTTATTTTCCTCCACTTCCCTTACCAACATACTCCACCAAGTCCAATAGGATTAGCATTTAGTGAGGACAAAAAATAACTGAATCACTTACCGAATTTAACTTCTGTACACTTTTCAAATAACATCGTATTGAATGGGTATTGTGAATTCCTATTTATATTTCTCCTTTGAAAGATTCCACTCTAAGCAATTGTTCCGCTTAATCTTTAGTACAGAGATCTTTAAATGAATTCCTACAGAAGGACCATGCAGTTTCCTATGCCTCGTCAGGCAGACGTAAGACATGAAAAATGCCTGTTGTGGTTCTGCTCACAAAGCCCTCCCCATTCCAGATTTCCTACTTTTGACATAGTGAGATTTGAAACTATCCAGAATCAGCATTTGATAGGCATGTTAATTTTTACTGGAGAACTACTCTCTGCCAGATTATTACCTTGCTTCATCAAGAGGGTCACCCCAGCAGTCACATAATAGTAGGAGGTAAATTCGTATTCTGGCTAGGGACTTCTCTGGTACCTCAACAATGAATAGAAATTGTTAAAAAGCCGGGGAGTGAATGCATAGAAAAGATAAATCCAAGTAAGCCAAGATATCTGTGAACCAAAATTCTGGTTTAAAAGACTGGTTGTTTTTTGTTTGTTCGTTTAATTCAACGTTTGAAGGAAAAAAAAGAATGCAAGGTTATGTAGCCTTTGAAAAAATAACCTCAAGATTTCAGGTACTTGAACTTATTCTTTGGGATTTCTCTGAAATGTCATGAACCTATAATTAATAGAGGTATTTTGAAAAAATATTATTTAATGTATCTGCTCTTATTTCTTTTTAGGTCAGTCTCGATTCTCGAGTTAGAGAGGTGATCAATAGAAATCTGTTGGATCCTAATCCTCACATGTATGAAGATGCCCAACTCCAGATTTATACCTTAATGCACAGAGATTCTTTTCCAAGGTTTTTGAACTCTCAAATTTATAAGTCATTTGTTGAAAGTACTGCCAGCTCTACTTCTGAATCTTAATTTTCATTAAAAAAAAAAAAATCATTTTGGAGGGCTGGGATAGGAAATTAGTTAAATAACACCAGAAACTGAGTTCCTGGAGAACTACAGTTTAGCATTCCTCAGGCTACTGTGAAAATACAACCATATGGTCTTTGTCTCCATTTTTATCAAGGTTACCCATGGGTAAGTTTGGGGAAAATATCACATAAAACAATGAATTGCCAAATTACGTTTGTTTTATTCAACACTCATTCTACTTGCAAGCAAACTGTATTTGTAGTCCTGTGAAGAGTCTACTAGTGTACCTCCAGAGGCTGCATGTGCGAAGTAAAACTGCTTCATTTGCCACGTAGTTGTTGTAATATTTAATCCAATGGCATAACTTATATCTGTATTTAAAGACTTTTGTGCAATATGGTCTTATAGAAATAACTGCCAAAAAGTTGGCTATGGTTCACATTTTTAAATATGATCTAAGACAGAAAAAGCCAATTTTGAAATTGTAACAATGGTATTCAACATGCTATATGCTGTGTCTAGTATACTAATTTTGAAGCCGATATTTCTGTACATGAAAAAAAGAGCTATTTATCTCTGTTTGTTGGAAGATCCTAATGGGCGGGGGGTGGTGGGGTTCCTCTGGTTGTTCACTGCCAAAACTGTGGCATTTTCATTACAGAAGAGTTTGTTGTGTAAAAAACAGTAAGGCAAAAAGAGAAAAAAAAAGCACAAAATAATTTGAAGATATTCTATTTCACTGACAAATCAAAGAGTAATAGTGTTTTTAATTGTAATTGAAGAAAATGATTTTATGTATATATCACATGTCCAATACTGTAATTAATTTATTAAAGACTGGCTCTCCAGTTCTAAAACAGTTGTGTAAAGTATGTACTTTAGCAAGAAAAAAAAAAAATAAGCTTGAAAACTTAGTTCTTGAATATGAAGAAAGGATTTAATAAAGGAACGCCTACATGTAGCATCATAAAACATTTCTATGAAAAGCATCTGTCCTGTGGCATATTTTCCTTGAAAGTGAAATCCAATGAAAAGCTAAGTATTTAACTAAGAAAAGTTTTATGACAGTTATGAAGAAGATAATTCTCTACTTTAGACCTTAACTGTTTTCACATAGTATCTTAAGAATTACTTATTTTAAAAATGTTAAAACCAAATTATTAATTCTCATCCATAATTGAAAGGCAGTTCAGTGCTCAAATCTTCTAGCTGCCATATTATTTTTATAAGTACCACTAAATCTTTAAGACAAAATGCTTGCCTGACATTGGCATGTACTTTTGACCTTCAAGAAAACGGTATCCTATCGTGCACACATACGAAAAAGTCAGTGTCATATTTATATCATGGTGTTACATTTGAATATTAATATATCCCCTGGAGATATTTTTTTAATCTTAAACTTATTAAATATAATATTGAGTAACCTAAAATGAAAGTTTTAAAAATATTTATATCCACTAAGAATACTGGCCTTATATTAAGGATGATATTAAAAATTATAGTTTTTCTTTGTCATTTTTAACTACCTCTCATTTTTTAATTTATTAAACATTAAAAAAAAACAAGTTTGGGGGTTTCTTTTTTTAAATTTATTTTACTTGAAAGGTTGGCATCTTAAGTTTCTTTTTCCATAAACGTAATACATTTTAAGAATTGTTTTTTAACTGAATTTGATTTTCTAATTTATATAGAATTCAGGAGATATGATTAAAAGGGCTATTATCTATTCCCTATGCAAATATTTTAACTGTTGCAGTGTTTGACAAAATGGGATTTTAAAAAAAGTTTGCATAGTAGAAAACAAAATGTTCTGTTTACACTGGCGTTGCTGACTATCCTACCATATTCAGCACTTTTAAATACATTATTTATGAAAATGTACTTAAAATACAAGATAGAAAATATTTATAATTTCTTTTAACAAATGCCTGTATTTGTCTGAAAGTGTTAGTGTGTTAAGACATACTATATCCATGTCAATTAGATATTTACTATTTGAATAATAGTTTCCAGTAATATGTTGAAAAAAGATAGTTATGAAGATGTTTACAAAAAGTCATATTTTTTTCCTAAAGAGTAAAGAAAAAACTAAAAGAATCATCACTTCTATTGTGAAGTTATACTGTTCCTGAATTATTTAATTTTTTTCTTAATTAGAATTGAGTTTATTATGCTACTATGATATATACACATATGTTGTAATATCATACTTGTTGCTGTATTTGAAGCACAATAAATTGGTGCACATGACTAGAAAATATGTAATATACTATGATACACTGCATGCATCAATCTTTTTAAGTGTAGACTTTATATTCTTGTTGTTACTATATATGATGGTGACCTGTTAGTCATAAGTTATCTTTATAAGATACTTTAGACTATTAGATGAATTGTCTGTTTGACAATACTTTTAATCTTTTACCAAATGTAAAAGATAAGGGCCTTATAAAGAGTTCTAATCTCTAAACTGGGCATTTGTAGAATACAGATTTTGAAGTTAGTATATCCTTTTGAAACCTAATTAGGAAGTTGTGTTGAGAATGATTCTAGAGTAGATTTACACATCAGATGTTGGTAACCATGCTATGTGAGTGTTTCTGTGCTAAATTCCTATTTTGGAGGGACGAGGGGTTTCTCATTTAATTTCAAAAGTTTTAAACTTTTAAAGAGTATGTATATTTCCAACTCTACCACTTTTTAAAGTATGATATGATCAATTCTGTTTTAATTACAGAGCTATAATAAACAAACAAACAAACCCTCAAATGGTGTCTATGCTACGATTCCAAGAGCACAATATTTGTTTGGGTAGAATTAGATTTTTCCTAGTGAGTGAATTCCTCATTGAGGAAAAGTTAGCACTTTAGAAGGTATACTTTGTGTTTCAGATGGCCAAGATATCATTGGTATACTGTTAGAATCTGCCAATGCACACAGAAAGAGGTTAATGCTTTTTCTATAGTGCCTAATTTCAGATGTGTCTATAATGGAAAGAAAAGTAGAGGATGTAGATTATATATAAATATATATAAATAAATTAGAGAGCCAGATTTCTTCACAGATGGATATTGTACATAGGTCACACTAATAATGGATGGATGACACTTCTTTACTCTGGAGAATTGCTATTATGTTACCCAAGGTAATATACATGAGCCCAGTGTTACAGGGCAGCTCTAAGCACAGTAGGTGCACTGGCATATGAACAACAATAGCAAAACACAATTTTGATATCAATGTTATGAAGTGTAAAAATCAAGACCATAATGTGGTCTTTTTTTTTAATCTTAAAATATGTACATAGGATGACCAGTTCTGATATTTGGTCATGGTGCATGGAGTGTTTATAGTATCCTTTAATGCTGCCTAGGTTATTAACAGAATGAAATGTGTATCATATTTTTACCTGATAGTTCAATTTTACAAAAGGACTCTAGACATAGGTAAATAATGTGCAAAAGTACATTTTCAGCCCATTAAGCTGATTTAAAATAATACCTGATTCTTAATTTGGAATTTATCTATTTTTTCTATATTTTAACTAGATTGAAAAAAATAAGTCACTGTAATCGTGACATATTACACTTGCAAAAAATACAATGTATCAGATGCATCGAGGAAGAAATATACAAGGAAAAAATTTTAAATACAATCAGAAAATAAGAACTTTTGAAAGCCACCTAAAAAGTCTTAGATCAAAAATGCCTATATATAGAACCCTATCAAAAATGAATTTTGAAAACTGTGCTGAATACATTGACAAATAATTTTGAAAGGTGGTAAAGACATTTCCAGAAAATTTTCTTGCCTGTGTATTTATATTGACAGTTACAATGTTAATTTTCAAAGTATACTTTTACAAACACTTATATTTGCATGCTCTTCGGTTCTTTATTTCTGACCAATATAAAATGTTTGTTCTCCTAAGAAAATAGTGTTCGACCTGTAAAAATGTAAGCTATTCCTCATTTGCTACAACTGCAAATATTTATCAGTAAAACTGATGCCAAAAACTTGATGCAGATTTTCCCTGCAATACTCTTAATGGGATCCTCGCAACACACAACAGTGCACAGATTAAGTTTTATTCCCAAATATGAGGCTTTAAGTATAAATTTGATTTCAAATTACGTTTCTGCATTATGTGACTTTGGCATTTTTAATCATTGATCTCAAGAATGTTTCCTCCTCTTCAAATGAGGAATATACTTAATTTGCAGGATGGCCATGAGGAATAAATGAAATAAACATGGAAAGAGTAAAGTGTTACCTATAATATTGTTACTTTTCAAAGTTCTCTAGCTCAATAATAATTCTCTCATTTTTCAAGAATGTATGTATTAAATGCGTTTCATGCTCTTTTCCTGTGTCTTTTTTAGCCATACTTTTAAAATCTGATTTATTCACTTAAAAATATATAACCAACTTTTTTTTAAGATGGAGGACTATACGAATATTATTGCTTTGTTCAATAATGTGATTCAAAAATCACTGTTTTCAGTTCACCAATGTCACCCTGAATCTATAATCAAGAAATAATCACACACGTAGATAGAGCTATATATAGATGTGTGTATGTGTTTGTTTGTGTGTATAATATTGTAAGTTTAAATCAAAGTTTAAATAAGAGAAATCATTTGAAAATTTTATTTCCAAAAGAAAAAAAAAACATTCCCAAGAATAGGAAGACTATAAATATTAAGTAATTTGCCAAATAAATATGTGAGGAGTAGAACTAAAAATAAGTTATAAGAAATTGGCCATTAGAAAACTGATATTGACATGGAGTAGAAAACATTCTTTTTAATATTAAGGTAGAATGATTTTTAAAATAATTTTACCATGAAAATGTGAAAATAAAATAAAAGGTATTTGTGTGTTCATAAAATTTTCATTAAACTTTTTATTTTTGAATAGTTTTAGATTTATAGAAAAATTACAAAAATAGTATAGAGAGGTCATATATACAGCACACTCATGAGATATTTATCACAATTAATGAAACATATCGGTGCATTATTAAGTCTACATTTGATTCAGATTCCCTTAGCTTTTACCTAATGTCCGTTTTCTGTTCCAGGATCTCATTCAAATTACTGCATTACATTTAGTCATCATGTCTCCTTAGGATCCTCTCATTTTGACAGTTTCTTAAATTTTTCTTGTTTTTGATGACTTTGACAGATTTGAGGAATACTAGTCTAGTTATTTTATAAAATGTCCGTTACGTGGAATTTGTTCGATGTTTTTCCCATGATTAGACAGACGTTATCGGTTTTTGGAAGCAAGACTACAGGTAAAGTGCCATTCATATCACATGATATCAAATGTATATACCATCATTATGACTTACCACTGTTCATGTTGACCTTGATCACCTGGCTGAGGTAGTGTTTGTTGGGTTTCTCCACGGTAAAGTAATAGATTTTTTAAGAGGTTACATTGGAGGTAAATTTATTGGACATTTATACAGAGCTAAAAAAAATTATGAGCATATTCATCAGCAGTACTATTAGGTTCTATTAAATGATTGGTAACAGCTACTATGAAGAAAATACAATGAACTGGATAGTGAAATGGGAAAATAAAACTCCAAAAGTGTTGGCTTGAATATTCACTTAATGGAGGTGAAGGTGAATTTTTTTCTTTGAACTACCTGTATAATTACTTTAATCCTCTACATCTTTTGGGTAGTAAAGATTTTAGGCTAATTGTCATAATAGGTAACTTAAATTGATCATCATTTTACCAAGTGCTTCTCTATATTGCCCTTCATTGAATAATAAACACTGAATATTGAACTAAAAGTCTTGATTTTGTCTCTCTTGCTTTAACTTGTCATAGTGTTTCTCATATATGATTTTAAGATGTTTGCTTAATATTAAAAATAATTTCTATACGTCTGGTTCTGAAAAATTTATCGTATTGAACATGTGTAATTTTTTACCACCATGTTCATTGTGCTTAATAATCTATATCCTTATTTTGGACTCCACCAATATTTATTAGTGGACCATAAAGAAATTTTGAATGCATGACTACAACTTAAGAGATACCATCTTGGTTATTTTGTAATGGCAGAATAACTGTAGGTATCTATAAATTGAATAGATAATCCAAATTATTTTTCCTCAAATTTCAGTCGTTTGGGTTTTTATTCCCCCTTCCTTGGGTCTGTTTTATCATTTTACCTGTGTACAATAATAACTTCCTGAAAATGCTAGAATTTTCAACATGTAATAAAATTTGAGCATGACAACAATGTAACAAAATTCAGAAGTCTCCAACTATGTATATTTCTTTGAGTTTTCAAAGTAAATCAAATTGAAGCTGTTTTCATTTAACTATTGTGTAAACTTATGGATATTATTGTAAAATGCACATGCATTACACTGACTTTTTAAAAATGTTTTGAATTAATAAAGAATCCACCAATATATCCTTAGACAAGTTACTGTTTCCTCATTGGTGTAACACTGTAGGAGTAAAAGGTACTCTTATTTATATTACTTAAAAGACTTTCAGTCTACGGCCATGCCACCCTGAACAAGCCAGATCCCATCTGACCTTAAAGCTAAGCAGGGTCAGGCCTGGTTAGCACTTGGATAGGAGACCACCTAGAAAGACCAGGAGCTGTAGGCTTAAAAAATAAGGGATTGTAAGATGACAAGGTCCTTGCAATCTGTGAGGTCAACCAAGGGTTGCCTCACCTAAAAAAAATAAAAAATAAAAATAAAAAAATTTAAAATGCTTATGCATCTGAGGGAAAATAATTCCTGGGTGGATTCTTTACAATGTTCTATAAGGTATTGCTTATTACATTTTTGCACCTTTTATAAATAATAAAGTATATTATTGAAATGACTTGTTTTGAGAACTCAACTGAGATTTATCATGTCGAGTTCAAATGAAAAGTTTAGGAAGACTTGGGAAATAACTTCCTAATGGAGGTATACACAACTTGATCAATCCTTTTTTTATAACGGATCAAAATTAAAATGGTTTCCGCCACTACTTAAAGCAAAACAATATTATAAAGTATTATGACTTGAATACACATTCAAAGTGAGACGAAGAACTGAAGGAATATTCCTTAGCGCTTTTAAGTAGTAAAACGTATTTTTGCTTTGTGTTTGAAGTCATTTCATTCTTCCACTTCGCTTTGCATTTGTAAGCAGAGCTCAGAAATGAATAGAGGAATACAAGCTCATTTTCTAAGAATTTTATACTTAACCTCAATAGTTTTGATTAGGTGACTTAAGGATAACTTGACCTCGTTGAGACCTCCCATATTGTACCATTTGATTTTTTTTTTAAAGAATAAACTACAAGGGTTTTCAGTATCTCAGTTTCCAACAGTGAAAACACCACTTTCTAGACCCTGCTCAAATCAGAGTAAGTGCTCCGACTTCAGTGTTCAGCCTTGCACCCCCAGGTCCGTCTCGGTTGTGTTTAGTCTCTCATATCCACTCCTCTGGTAGGCTGTGAAAGGTCTTCTGAATAATGCAAAGCATCATACCAATATATTTGAGTATTCCTGGCACCAATTCACTATTAGTATCTAGTTTGGGGGGTTGGACTACCCGGGGCGGGGCTCCGAAGGCTCCGCTCCGCTGTGGTTTATCAGAACTTGGAGCCCCTCGATCTCTTTAGAAAGCCGCTAACGGGAACTCGGAGTAAGTGAGAATGGACGGGCGAAAGACTTGGTGAGGAAGTCGTTTGAAAGCAAGTACGTGGTAGATAAAGGGCAGGAAAGCAGACACTGCGAAATCACTCTGTGGTTGCCTTCTACTGCACTTGTCACGACCTAATTAACATGAGCCTTACCCACCATCGAAAAAAGAAACATGAGCGGAAAAAAAGGCAGAGTAAACACGCGCACATGCACGCATGCACACGCGCGCCAATCCTACAAATAGTCCTTGAGGACGAAAAGCCAGGCTGGCGCTGGCACTGGCACTGCCGTGGCTGTGACCTTAGCCCATGTAGCGGACGCTAGACTGCCCTTTACTGCGGGACTTGAAAGCCTCATTCAGTGCTTGGGAAACAAATCCGGGACGTCAGAACGTACGGCGGCAACCTGCAGCTTTCTCCTTCCGGCCCAACACACCGACCAGGCAGGTTCGAGGAGGTGCCCGAAGTCTCGCGGACCCGCCCCTGCCTCTTTCCGACCGGCTCGCTCAACTTCCGGCCTCAGACTGCCGCGGCGTTTAAATGCTCGGCCGGAAGTTCCCCCCCAGACTTCCGGGAGGCCCTTTAAAACCGGCGCGCGCAGTGGGCGGGGCCCGCCCACGGCTCTCTTGCCCCTCTTTGCAAATTCCGCGCGGTGTCGCGAGACTCGCTCTGTCCTAAACTTCCGGCTTGGGTCCGCCTCCGCAGTGGCGGCTTCGCGATGCGGTCCCGTCTTCTGCTGAGCGCTGCTCGCTGTCTTTGGGCCCGCGGGGCTGTTGCTCCGGCCCGCCGGCACATGAGCTGCGATAGGCTTCAGCTGGAAGAGCTTTTCGCTCGCGGCGGGCCCTTGCGGACCTTTCTGGAGCGACAGGCCGGGTCTGAATCCCAGGTCAGGGGACCTGAGCTGGTGGCCATAGCCAAACTGCTAAGCGAGAGGGAGCAGGAGCTGCGGGAGACCGAGCACTTGTTACATGGTAAGCGAGGTTCAAAGCAGATTCGTGACTCTTCGTTTGCCTTTTCCACCAAACTGCTGGTCAGGTATCTACACTGTTACCGAGTTTGAAGCTCTTTACTCAGTTGCAGCCCTTTTTGGTTTAGAACAGATCAGGGCATTATTATATGCGTTTTGAGTCTATGGCCTCCTGTTTGAGCCCTTGTGTTCCCTTGAAACAGTACCCCGCCCCCTTTTACAGAACTTAAGTTGACATTTATTCGTTGAGTACGCTGTGGCAGATCATTAGCTCACCAAGGACAAATGAGGCACTATCCCTGTTAGGGGCTGGAGAGCAGTGTTTCTCAAAGTATGGTAAAGGGACCACCTGCAATAGTGTCAGAAGAGGTGCGTGCTAAAACCAGACGTATGACTCAGCATCTGAGATCTAAAATATATTATTTTTAAAACAGGTTTCTCAAGTGATTAGTGTGCATTCAAACAAACAAACAAACAAACAAACCTGGTTGGGGCCTAAGTTTCTGCTTTTCTATAAGCTCCCAGGGATGCCGAGCTGCTGGTCCATAAGCCATACATTGGGTAGCTTGGCTCTAGAGGGGGTCACAGCCTATTTGGGGAGAGAGAATTATAATACAGTTGAAAAATGAAAACATGGCTGAATAAAAACCTAGGAGAGCAAGGAGAACTTGTTGGGAAGGACTTGTGCAAGGATAAAGGCCCACCCTTAGAGGATATATTTTAACCTTTATCGATCCTTCACCACACTCCAGGCTTTGCTTAGTTTTCATTAGTTATTAACCAGTTCACATAAACTGTGAAGTAGCAGAGACGAGGAACCTGAAGTATAGAGGTAAAATAACTCTTGCACTAGTAACAGAGTTTTTAACCCATTTCCTGTTTGCCCCAAGAATACTCGCCAGCAGTGCTTGTGGCTGCAGCGTTTACCCTGAGATAACTCATGGATTATAGTCTTAAAGTTACCTCCAAAGTTTGTCATGAAATATCTTTTTTATTATTTTCGCATCACTCTAGTACATCATAGTCTTCGCAAACAAATGACATCATTCTATTTATAGTATTGTTTTTATTAATGGTATTTCCATTTACAAAATATTGTAATTTTCAATTGCTAAAAATGTCAAATCCTAGAAAACGTGGTATTCCTATGCGTGATGTTAAATCAACACTGGCAGCACACTGCACTTTTTATTTTCTAAATGGGAAGTGAGTTAAGGGATGGAGTTTGTATCTGAATGCCTCCAAATCTCATGATTTTAACCACTGTACTTTTTATTAACCAAGGGAGAGGGGAGATTATGAGGAGTGGTAGATTGGAACATTTTCTAAGGGGGCAAGTGTCAAATACTAATCTAAAAAGGTTGATTCCATCCCGTTTGCAGAAGGGAGCCAGCAAAAGCTTTTAGATCTGGGAATGAACGTTAAAAATAGATTTGTTGCTTAGGAAGCTGGATTTGTGGTAGTTTAGAAGTCAACCTGTAATAAGAATGAAAAACAGAAGGCTGCAGTAGTCTAGGTGAGAGTTAAGGAGAGGCTAAATTAAGTGATTTAATAGAAAAGGCAGATGTTCAAAGTGTAAAAGAAAAGATTAAGGATATTGGGGAAAATATGTTTTAGAGAAACATTAAATTGGTTTCATAGCTTAAATCAGAATTAAAATCCCAAGTGGATTTAACAGTTAAATATTTTAAAAATCAAACTACAGAGGATTTAAAAGAATGTTACCAAATTGTTGCTGGCAGAATGCAACTCAGCATAAAAACAATACAAAATATCATTCAGCAACTCCTGAGTTACTAAAAGGCAGATACCACTGGTTACCAAAAAGAGTATGGAACTACTTAGGAGCTTACAACCTAGTAAAGAAATGTTTACGTAAAAATATAAGTATGAGTGGTTATATTTTGTTTTAATTTCTTCAATAAAGAGCAGAGTGTTATAAAAAAAAAACAAAGTCTGGCATTTAAATGGATCTTGAAGTGTAAGAGAAGGGAACTGAAAGCACAGATGACCAGTAAGGATAAAGTACCAAACTGGGAGATATAACATGGCAGGCGCATAGAGTAGGTGCGAGAATTCATAATGTAATAAAAACTAGAAACCATAAGGACAGTTAAGAACCTCGAGTGACACAGAACCTGGATTTGTTCCTACAGAACATGGGAAGTTAGCACATGTTTTTAAGTAGGGAATTGACATCTTTTTAAAGGTTAATTTTGGCATCAGTGTTGAGGATGAATTGGAGTATTCTTCAGGGACCCTGGTGGCTGAAATTTAATTATTTGTTTAGATTAAATTACTTCTAGACTTTAGTTCCAATTCTTTAGCCCTACAGAACACTGCATTTCAGAGCAGAAAGAAAGGCACCTTAGAGATCATCCAGCTCAGAGCTTTCATTTTCTCCATGATAACTGAGACTCAGAAGTTGGGCGTGTTCTCCTAAGAGAACCGTAATGGTTGAACTAGGACTAGAATTCATTTTTCCTTTTTCTGAGTCAATACATTTTCCACTTCTCCAAATTTCTTCCATACCAAATTCTTGCCAAAATGATTTCCTGCCTTCCCATTAACACTTTCTGTACTTGCTTATCTCAATTTTGCTGTTGTCATTATCTCTCCTTGAATTTAATCCTTTTTTCTGCCCATCCCCAAAATAAACAACAAAAATCCTTCAGTGTGCTACTGTTTTTAATCACATCACGTAGTGTTTTAGGTTGTTATTCTTTGTGAGTTTTTCTCCGCTAGAAAAATATAAAGAAACTAAAATGATCTAAAATCCTGCTGTACCTATTATCCCCATTTCCCAAATAATTAGTTCTTAATAAATGAACACACGTACAAACTAGTACTTTTAAAAGAGTATGATCTCTCAAGAGAGCACAATTTATAACACTTAAAAAAAAGTCCCCTTCTCTCTTTTCTATAGGTTGCATGTGGACCATAGGAAAGAGGAATGAGAAAGTATATTTTGCAAGGTAAAAATTAAAACTTAAAATAAGAATTAGGGTAAAGCCTGAGAGAGAGGAGTACTTCAGGTGAACATTCTGTAAACATTAGGTAGGGTCTAAATGTTTGAGTAGATACTTACTTTATATTAATGAAATATTTACTAATAACGCAATAAATAACTTTGTACTTAATTCAGTTTTGATTTACCGGATGGAAACTTCTGTTCCTCTGTGGTCTGACTAGCTCAATGTATTCATTTGTCGTTGGAAAACTAAAAGCATGTTAATATGACTGTTTCATAGAGGTACAATTAAAGAAAAGTTTAATAGTTTTATATCTTTGTATTGGGAGTCTTTTTAATTTTTTTATTTGTTTTCTGTCACTGGGGAAAAGTTTTTTTTTTTTGAAAGCTATATGCTTATGAAAACTAACACATCAAATACTACTTTTAATTAATGGCAGTTATTAAAAGGATAAGAAAGGCACTTTGTTTTTCCATTCAGCTACAATAACAATAAAACTATTACCTTAAATTCTGTTGACAATTTAACACTAATTACGGAAAACAAACTATTGCCTTTATTTCTTAGATGAAAATGAAGACTTAAGGAAACTTGCAGAGGATGAAATAGCTTCGTGTCAAAAAGAAATAGCTCAGTTGAAGCATCAGGTATAATATCTGTGCAAAGAATAACTCATTAGTACTATAATTTTGTTAAAAGTTGGCAAAACAATTCAAGACTTAACCAGCTTGTTAGTATTTAGAATTAGAAACTATTTTTTAAAGCATACTCCCTGTGGTCCTATTTTTATCCTACTAAAAGGATTGTAGAGCTCTGATGCAAGGATGAATGTCACATTAACGGGATTTGTGGGATAGACAGTGAGTAGAAGAGGTTATGAAGTGCTGGTAGATTGTGAGCAGGGATATTCTTTCATTTTTGTGTTTCTGTCAATATTAGAGTGCCAGACCTAGAGCAGGCCCTCAGGATTTTTAGAACTGAATTGTACTACTTTGGTTATGTATCTATGAGAATTTCAGAACATATAGGAATGTAATTAAAGGAAGAGTAATCATTACATAAAATTAGAACCAATCTTTGTTAATTCTGTAAAGCAGAATTTAAAGCTTTTCAGTATTGAAAGAACATGGTAAGGTGACAAAAGATCGCAGAAAGGGGATGGCTTAATTTAGAGATTCTGTCTCTTCTCTAGCAAATGTGGAAGTCATCAAAGACGACCGTCCACACCACCTACTCTAGAAGGAAAGTTCCACTACAGAGTCTCGTGTAACTTGCCTTCTACCCATTTTCTAATTTTGTGTGTTTGAAATAAAAGGACACATGTAGTAAAGGTTTCTGTTCATTGGTTAGTAATTAACAAACAGGTGTGAATCCTATCATTTGTTAATTCAGAGTTTGAATGATCATGAGGTATTGGCATAAGCTAGAGAGATGGAAAAGCAGGAACAACTATAGCTCCCAACCAACATAAAGTGTGATATTTCAGAATTCAGGTAGACTCAGGTTCAAATTCTAGCTTTTCCACTTTCTAGCTGTATATTGGGCAACTAGATTACTAAGCTAAACTAAACTCAGTTTTCACATCTTAAGGTGGAACTGTTAATAGTACCTGCTCAAGATTGTTTTAAATTAACGTAGGTAAAGTACTTAGCAGAATGACTAGCATATATTAAAAAAAAATCAATACATGTTGGTAGCTTTTCTTAACTCACCTAATTTAAGAAGCTTCTCATCTACATCCCTTTAATTACTCCATACTACAATGTGAAAGATATTACTGTAATAGAAGGAAGACTGATCTAGGCAGAAGGATTTGAGTTCGTATGCCTGCTCTGCCGATAACCAACACTTTGCCCTTGGACAAGTCATTTAACCTGTTAACCTTATTTTCCTTTACATGCAAAATGAGGGAATTGAACCAGATCATCCTCTACAGGCTTTTTCAGTTCCAATATTGCAAGTTTCTCTTCCACATTAAAGAAGCTTTTAAAAAAATGCAATTTGGGAGCTTTTTAAATTGTTTTTTTTTTTTCCTGCCATACTAGGCCATAAATTTCAAAAGGATAGAATCTTCTTTCACATTCTACACACAACATAGTGTCCTACTCACAGCAGGTACTTATTAACTGAATAGAGAACTGATCTAAAGTATACATGAACACACAAGAAAATCTGTAAGTTTTTGCTGAACCTTATAACATATGATAGAGATGTAACAATATTTTTTAGAAATTATGCTTATATGGTTCTAAATGGGCAGGATAATTGAATATAATCACAATGTTAAATTTGCTTAGAGAAACTTTAAGTAAATTAAATATTTAAAATCCCGCATCTAATCATTTAGCTCTTTTTTAAAGTTTTAAATAATTCTTATAGGAGGGGTGCTATTTTTTATTTACAGATTATCTTACTTTTGGTTCCCTCAGAAGAAGCAGATGAAAATGATTTGATCCTGGAGGTAACTGCAGGAGTTGGGGGTCAGGAGGCAATGTTGTTTACTGCAGAGATATTTGATATGTATCAGCAATATGCTGCATTTAAAAGGTGGCATTTTGAAACCCTGGAATATTTTCCAAATGAAATAGGTCAGTAAACTGTTTTGGGAAAAATGTAGATTTGTCTATATGTGTCCTCGGAAAGGGGGTGGAAAGACCATGACTAGACTTTAGAATATATTTGTAAGGATGCTTAATAAGTTTTTTGCTTATCATTTACTTAATCATTTTGAATGCAAATGTACCCATTTTGAAATGGTCTATAAAACATTATCCATTCAATACTAACCAATGAATGACTTACGGTCTTTTAAAAGTGGCCTTTTACATATGTTATTGAATCAATTCATTAACACTATAAATTCATTATGTTTAATAACTACAAAAATATAGTATTAAATCACTTATTATCTAGTATTAAAGCACTGGATATCATAGACTTGCTGAAGTTTTTCAATATATTTTATATCTATAGATTGTTTTATAGCTTTTTTGAATATATTTCAAGATGGTAGAAGTGATGGTCAATTGCTTATAAATGACAAAGGTAATAAAAGAATTTTCCCAATATTTTCAAGGTGGCCTTAGACATGCATCTGCCAGCATTGGGGGTTCAGAAGCCTACAAGCACATGAAATTTGAAGGAGGTGTGCACAGAGTGCAAAGAGTGCCAAAGACAGAGAAGCAGGGCCGCATCCACACCAGCACCATGACTGTGGCCATATTACCCCAACCTACTGAGGTGAGGCATCACAGTCCCCTCTCCTTGGAATCCTGGGCTTAGCACAGTGCCTTGCCCCCAGAGTGACACTTTACTGATCTGGCCTTCACCACATACTTTGAATTAATTTTTGAGAAACTAGTATCTCGGTCCAAAAAGTACTTTATAATAGATTGTAAGAATCAAGGATGTATAAGGGATGTAATCTTGCTATTTATTCATTTTCCCCACCACTAAGCTTAAAGTAGTTACTTTGAGATCATCTCTACAGTAGAAACAATATTACCCTATGTAAATAAGGTGTTAAACCTTTAAAATGACCTTGGTTTCGTGTGACTGGCTTCCAGAGTTTTAATAGCAAGAATCCTGTTTTAACAAGGTTACTACTTAACACAATTGCAACTTTATAACCCAATCACACTACAATGGAAATATATTGTTACAGTTTATAATAAGTGTACTCTATTCTCACAAAGTAAATTCTCAGTCTAAATATTTGTAAAATAACTTAGTTGGGAAGTTCAGTTTTGCTTACATCCCTTCTGTTGAAAAGTGATAGGAAATGTTTGGCTTTTCTTTCAGGATGAAATATGAATGATTTGAGGAGAAAGAAGTTTAATTGAGGGTTTCTCTTTAATTTGTGGGGAAAGTGCTACTTGACTCTGTAGCAGGAGCCACACCTAGATACCAGTCACTTTGGTTTGAGCATCTTGGAGATGGAAGGGAGTTTTCAGGGAAAGATAGAGACTGAGGTCCAGATACCATCTCATTTAATTCTTCTAGCAAGAGTAAAAAGGAGCCATATAGAGAGACATGGAGGGCCTATGAATGGTAGGATTCCTACTGCCAGGGTTGTGGACATGTCACAGAGTGGTCCGTAGTTCATGAAACAAAGCTTTTTAAATCTAGTGCTTTCGATGGTGACTCCCAGGACAGCATTATCCTGACATCAGATCCCAGTGTACTTCTGAATTGGGCCTTACCTTTGACTTCTTGGCTTTGCCATTTCCATTTGTCTGTCCTCTGCCTCCAAATATATTTAAGTCCTCCTTTAATTAAAATTAAAATAAGCCTTTCCTATAATTCTTAAGCTAGCAGTTTTTTTCCTCTGCTAGTCTTTTTGAACTCAGAAATATTCCATAAATCTTATTTTATTTCATATATTTACACTCCTAATAAGAACCAAGTTCTATTCATATGGTAGAGCATAATTTACAGAGAAATCCAATTTTTGAGGATTAGAGTTTTTGTTCTAGTGTATTTTAACCTGCTACTCTTCCAAAAAGAAAAAAATTTTTTAATGCTATCTTTCTAATTACTTTCTATTCTTGACATTAAACCATCTAAATCTTAACAAGAATACTATACATGACATGTATTTGTAGTTATAAGTGGATAGTTCTTGCCTTTGAATAGTCCATACATGTAATATTTTTAAATCCCAACTTTTCCTCTTATGTGTAGATTAATCTGGTAATTAATCCTAAAGATTTGAGAATTGATACTAAGCGAGCCAGTGGAGCTGGGGGGCAGCATGTAAATACTACGGACAGTGCTGTGAGGATAGTCCATCTTCCAACAGGTATGTACTTATTATTCAACGTAAAACACTGAAGACATCAAATTCTGAATGATTTGACTAATTTCCCACTAACATAGCTCTTTAATTACCAAAGGAATGTATACTGCTAAGGATTGTTATTAAATACTTGATCTATTTAGAATCCTTAGCTGACACTACTGCAGGATAACTACAAAGCCAGGCAGATGGAGGGATTTAAACCTGAGGAATCTCCATATCAGTGACGATGAAGAGAAGGTGTGGGTAGTCCTTCCAGGTAGCTTGCTGAAGTTTATACTTAGTAGATATCACTATTTAAAAAAACCCTTATGTCTATGGCCATGCTACCCTGAACAAGCCCGATCCTGTCTGATTTCGGAAGCTAAGGGTCAGGCCTGGTTAGTACGTGGATAGGAGACCACCTAGGAAGACCACGTGCTGCTGTAGGGGTAAAAAATAAAAAAAGAAGGGATTGTAAGCTGACAAGGTCCTTGCAATCTGTGAGGTCAACCAAGGGTTGCCTTGCCTAAAAAAATAAACAAATCCTCATGATGAAATTATTACCATGGCCTCTTCTTTATCAGCAAACACTCTAAATCACTAGCCGTTAGTCTTTTTTGAAGGGAGGACATGGACTCAATGACAGCTTGGACCTACTACCCAGAAGCATATAAAAGTTTTGCATATAATTTCAGGGGCTTCTTTCCATTAAATTTATCTGCAGACCTCCAGGAGCTCTGATTCTAGATAGTTAGGCATTGGAACTGTATCTAAATATTTCTTAAGCCTTCAGTATGCTCTTAGGTAGAACTATAAATGTGTTTTACAAGTATTACTGTAGTGATTTACATGTGATAAAGAGCAGATGGATAGCAAACCTCAGCTATCTAGAAAGAATGCAAGAATCTCTTACAATGACCGATCTCAAATAGGCATAATTCCCATTGATCAGTAGTGGCTGATGGGAGTGATGGCTTAGTATGTTTTTATTTTTTTTTTAAATGAGGAAATCCTCATGTCAAACTTAAGATGATGTCGTATGTAACACAGTCTATAAACAATAGAAAAAAATGGATAGAAACCCTCAAAAACAATAGTGATTATCTCTGGTGATAGGATTAACTTTTTCTATGATGAGCTATTATGTTAAAAAAATTATGTGGTTAGCTGAGGGTATGGAAAGCAATCCATATTAAGTAATGAATGCTGTTACTTAGTATGTATGCCTTCAATATGGAAATACTTTGTACTGTAGTTCAAACTTCTATAGAGTTATCAGAAAAATCAAAATTTATTCGTTCAGTTTAGTCTTTTATATTAGAGTCCTATTTTCTTCTCATAAAGGAAGAAGAAAAAGGGTGAGAAGGAAAAGGAGTATTCCTTGGTAATAAATGAAGATTTTTTAAATTAAAACTCTTTAATTCTCATAATACTATTCAGGTGTTGTTTCCGAATGCCAGCAAGAGAGATCTCAACTGAAAAACAGAGAGATGGCGATGAAAAAGTTACGTGCAAGACTATACAGCATGTATCTAGAAGAAGAAACAAGTAAAAGATACAGTGCTAGAAAGATTCAGGTAAAACCGAATTGAAAAAAGTGCTTCTAAAGGGTAAACTTTTTAAAATAACTTGGTTTTTATTTATTTTTTAATTGTTCCAATGTATTTGTCAAAATAAGAAAACAATTCAGGTAGCTCAACCAAGGGCTATACTTGTTTTGTAGTAATCTTACCTCTGCTCTGTTTTCATGGGTGTTTTTCTCAGACTTTTAAGCAGTTACTTAAAAAAGATATATGGAGCCTCCATTCCAAAAATTCTGGAAGATGGAAAGCAAACTGAACTTTCTCCCTGTTAGATATTTAATTTTATAACTACAGAGCTCTTTTATTAGTTTCATATTATGGGAAATTCATCACTTTGTCATCACCGAAGATGACTAAATTAATTCACAAAGATTACATATATTTAGTTACTGTTAGAATATCTCCTCTGTGCCAGGCTGTATGTGTACATCACTGCTGTGTAGCAGGTATTATTTGTCTGTATCTCACAGATGAGAAAACTAAAGTTTAGAGTTGAAATGAATTGCCTGAAGTCAGAGCACTGAAAAGGCAGAGAGAATTCAAATACTACTAATCTGTCTGACTTTAAAGTCCATATTCTTTTTTTCTCTATCCTATTCTCATGTTATCTGATGATTCACAATGTTTAAAACTTGGTGCTTACATCATGTTTCAAATTATAAAGCAAGAGCTTAATTTCCAGTTAAGTAGGTTTCGTTGCCAAGTCTAACTGTCCCTCATATCTTTTTTTGCATATATAGATTGGAACTAAAGGAAGGTCAGAGAAAATAAGAACATATAATTTTCCACAGAACCGGGTTACAGATCACAGAATAAACAAGTCACTTCATGATCTGGAAACTTTTATGCAAGGAGAGTATCTACTTGATGAACTTGTACAGTCATTGAAAGACTATGCTGATTATGAATCTTTAGTAGAAATTATTTCCAGAAAACTTTAAATCAATTTGTCATTAAAGATTTTCATAGCTTATGAAAATTCTACAACAGCAAATCATATTGTATGTAAATATTAACTGGTATTCTCTTGAAAAACATGAGTTAACACAATAAGAATATGCATATTTTTAAGATACAGATAACTTGTATAAGTCTTCTCTCATTGTATTAATAAAAAAACACTATATAACCATGACTCTGGTTGTATATTTTGGACTCTTCCTTACAAGAGGTAGAAAAATCATCCTAAGTTATAATGACTGACTGACTGACCAGAAATTTAACTCTATAATGAAACACTTCAAACAGAAAACAGTAGAAATGACAGTAAATACTGCATTAAGCAGGGTCTAGTCAGGAGACAGAAACCATACCAATAATATTACCATAATACCAATAAATTTGGGGATAATATTGATGAAAAGAATTTTTAACTGACAATGGGATTAGCTATTGAGAACTCTAATACACTAGGACAGAGAGAGCATCCAAGGAAAGAACCACCTTGAAAGGGCTTCCCTTCCCCTAAGGTGGGGAGTCAGGCCTGATGGAGAGAGTGTGGCTGCAGACCACTGATGACAGAAAAGTTCCCTGGGTTGCCCTGGGCCAGAGCTGTCTACAGGGGGTGGATCAGGCCTTGAAAACAGAGAACCTCAAACCCTCAGAGATCAGTAAGCAAGAAGCTTCCCACCAGGCGTCAGAGTTGTTGGAGGGTAAGCATCAGTAGGTGTCTGCATTAGTCAGGGTTCTCCACAGAAATAGAACCACTAGTATTATATATAGAGAAAGATAGAGAGAGAGATTTAGCTTGACAAGTCTAAAATCTGCAGTGTGGGCCAGCAGGCCGGAGAGCCAGGAGAGCCGATGCTGCAGTTCCAGTCTGAAAGCAGTCTGCTGGTGAATTCTCTTACTGCAGGGAGTCCAGTCTTTGCTCATTTCAGGCATTCGACTGTTTGAACGTGGCCCATCCACATGGAGAGCATTCTCCTTTACTCAAAGGTCACTGATTTAAGTGTTAATCTCATCCAAAAACACCTTCACAGAAATATGCTGACTAAATATCTAAGCACCTTGTGGCCCAGCCAAGCTGACATAAAATTAACCACCGTGGTGTCCAAGAGCACCCCAGGCAGCTGTGCTACACACAGATGAAGCACATTAAAAATAAGAGAAGCCCCCTCCAATTGCATTGTTCTTCCTTCCACCACCCCCAGGACAAAGCTTCACAAGGTACCAGTTGACGAAGGAGAAATGTTTACAGGTCCAGCTCCAGTATCATGAAGTAAGGCAATGAAGGGTGAATTTGTTGCTGAGGCAAAAAGTCAGTAACTGGCACAAACACCCATACTCTATATAGTTTCAGTATCTGATATGTTTTTGTATGTGCTTAGTGTTAAAATTTAGAAATTTTGTTACACTTCGCCCTTAAATATTTCAGTTTGCATTTAAAAAAATAAGGACATTACTCCATTTACTATCATAATACCTAACAAAATTCACAATTCCCCAATTCCTTATTCTCTTCAAATAACCAATTCAGATTTCCCTAATTCTCCCCAAAATGTCTTCTTTATCGAGAAATAATTCGTTTCTTTAAATCAGGATTCAATTAAAGATCATACATAGAAACTGGTGGTTATATTGCTAAAGATTCCCTTAATCTAGAACAGCCCTGCCAACCTCTGCCCCTTTTTTCATTATATTGCATTGACTTTTAAATAAGTCAGGTCTTAATACTCTGATATGCTGAGATGCTTTAGATTCTCTAAAATATAGTGACAGATAAAACAAATGTATTCACCTTTGTGAACTGAGAAGAATTTGCTGTTGAAAGTGAATATAAAGCTGAGCCAGTAGAATCATATCAATATTTTTGTCATATTTAAAAAATTTTTTTCCATGGAAATCCTGGTTATGATTGGCTCTTTTCTGAGAAGACTGACTCCAGAGAATTGGACCTGAGAGGGAAGCTCGCACACGTTTGCTTGAGGCTGCACAGTTGTAAAAGACCTCTCGATGTGAGGGCCACAGTGAATAAAGATGTGTGTGTGATTAATGAATAAGAGACCCATGTTTCTCCCATGGTGTGTGTGCTCCTTCACCGCAAGTAGTAGTAAATTCAACCTGTTTAACTACAAAAAGAAAACTATATAGGACCTGTCAGTTATCCCCTAAAGAAGTGAGAAAAGCTGGAAATGCAGCCCAAGAATTTCTTGAAAACATAAGGTAAACTAAAGACTACAATTATGAGAAGAGCTCTACCTGGGAGTAAATGGAGAAATGTTAAATTTATAGTAGTCATGACAAGGTAAGATTGCCAGGGAAAACACTTTCATATGATTAAAATGTTAAAGAAATAGGGAGATATTTCGTTAACTCCCCAAATTGCATACTTTTCCATATTTGTTAGAAATCAACAGCAGATTGAATTCTTGCAATCATATGTACTACATAAATTCAAAACTACAATATTGTCAGGTAATGGGTTTCTTCCTTAAGTCAACTTTTATTAGCCAAATTTCCTTAAAAGCCCCAACTTGTGCTAATTTTCAGAGTAATTTTATATTGAAAATTTATTGTAAATACAACAGAGAATTTTAATTTGGAGTGACTCCCTCTCCCCTGTATTCTGCTCATGAAAGGAATTCTGTCTTCACAAGAACAGTTGCTGAAAGCAGCTTTCAGTGACCAGTGCAACTCAATGTGGCAAGACATGTCCATTTGACTACATTCGGTGTCTACAAAAGGCCCAATGCAAGCCTGTGTCCCCCAGTTTTATCACTTTCCTCTTGTGTCTTTCGGTTTCCTTTCTGAATGAAAGGGACATATCTGTGGGTTATTAAATATTATAACATACTATTAGTTTTTCTTAACCTCGTCTAATAGGCAACATTAGGAAAATTGAGCTGAGATTGTGAAGGGTCTCAAATGCTGGAATTTATGCTGTAAATACAGGGGAGAGAGTAAGTTAATTGCTCCCCATCCCTCTACTCCCTCACTCCCTGCCTCAAAGGGAAAAGGAGTGAGAGCTGTACTAATGAAGGTAGAAAAGAACCTTTGATCAATTCTTAAACTTCCCGTCCATCAGAACATCATAGCTGGTTAGAAAAAAATCACAATACCTAGGTAATGTTAATGATATAAATTTAAGGTATGTATCAGTAGGTGTACTATGAACACATGCAGAGAACTGACAAATTCCAGTCTGTGAACTGACATTGGCTCCCACTTCACTCGATAATCTAAATTAATCCTAGATAATCATATGTAATTTTGGGACGCAGGAGAAGGTAAGTGTAGAGCAACATAATTTTGGCCTGAGGTCTACTGGGACCCTAAGACTCTTACTTATAAACTGTGCATTGTCACTCGTACCTGCCTTGTTTATGCTGCCCTCTGCCTAGAAAACACACTCCATTTACCGCTGCAGACAAATTTCAAGGTTCAACCTAAAGGGTACCTTAGCCCTGGGCAGAATTAACTGCCCTTCCTTGGTATTTCATAGCACTTTACGATACCTGTATGACAACATTTATGACAAGGTTATAAACTCACTGGTTTACTCCTGTCTCAGGATTGTGTACTTACTAAGGAAGTGGGAAAGGATGGGTCAGGGAATGGAATAAACTCATTGCTAGCATTGTCTCATTAACAGACTAAATTGTGTTCTCTTCATTTTGTCTCTTCGGGACTTAACATGCTACAAAAGGCACTAAACAGATGTCTAAAAGGCAGTTATGGCTGCAGTTTTTGTCTAGAAATCTGGTGTATTATTTAGAAAGAACCAAAACTAAATTTCAAAATGGCCTACAACACCCGTTAATCAACTCATTCAGATAGAACGGCAATCTTGAAGATGTATAAACAGATAATCACTATGTTTAAAATGAAACTTGTCATACTCCTCTATAACCCATTTCTCATTGTGGATCTCAATTTCTTAAATGATGCTACCATGATTCCTCCTCTCAAATTTAAATGTCACCTTTGATTCCTCTTCCTCACATGCAGTTTATTGCTAAATTCTACTCTCGTACTAAACACTTAATCCTCTCCGATTCCATTACTACTCTTGTCCAGAATTACTTCTCTCATGAACTACTTCTGTCCTCTGACTTCTTGCTGTATCCTCTCTACCTGATAATTTAGGTTACATACATGTAACTGCCAGATTCATCTTCCTAAAAAGCAAGGCTCTGATCTTGTCACCCTTTTGCTTAATAGCTTCCCACTGCCTCCCAAATAAAACTCCAGCTCTTAAGTGTACATAGGATACATCCATCTCTGTATCCAACATCAGTTCATATCAGCCCATTTTACATAGCACCCATCCTTATGTCATATCAAATCAAATAATTTTTCCTGATAAAGCACCTGCATTTAAGTTTCTCCCATTTTATTCTTTATGCCATGAAAGGCCTCCCTCCTCTCCATTCCCTCAAAAGACATCCCCTATAGTAGTGGTTCTCGTCTACAAGAAACCTTGCCCCCGCAAATGACATCCGGCAATGTCTGGAGACAGTTATCACAACTAGAAGGGGAGGAGAGTCAGGCTAAGAATGCTGCTAAATACCCTACAATGCAAAGGAAAGCTCCCCACAACAAAGCATCTGGCCCAAAATGTCAACAGTGCTGAGGCTGAGAAACCCCTTCCTAGAGATTCACTTATCCTGGCATACAGAAGTTAACTCTTCTGTTCTATAAAAAGTCCCACTGTAACCAGATGTTATTTGACTACCTAGTGTCCCATTATAGCTATATTTTATATACCTTATCTCTTCCTCCCCTTTAGGACCCATGATGCTTTTACTCAAAGATTATTTACTGAGCGTCTTATGTCTGGCCCAGATAGTAAATACAAGGTCAGGTGTCATGTACCAATTATTTGCATACACTTTCAAGGTCTCAAAAGTTGTAGGCAATAAGAATTTGCTAAAGGAATGAGGGCAATTCTCTCTGTACCTCACTTTGCTCCTAAAAACTCAACAATTTTGACTGATACTGATTTACTGGAAAAGGTGTATATATATATATATATACATACACATATATGTAAATATACATATATCTGTTGACATGTATTCATATGTATATGTATCTGTTGACATCTAGTAAATTCAGAATGGTTCTTTCTAAATTTCTCACTAAAAATGAAATTAACAGGTGCTCATGAACCTACTGAACAAGTTGTCGGTCAAAATATTATTTCATCATAATTAAAGTTTTAACAGTTAAAAATATTAAGTAATTTAACCCAAAAAAGAGCCTGACAAACTATTTTAGCATGCGATAAAACATGCTTGGCTTTTTCCAATAATATACATTAGCCTTTTTCTGAAATGAATGAATGAATGAATGAATGAATGAATGAATAACTGCTGGAGAACACTTTTTAAGCTGTGGTTCAGATCCAAAGGTTATAGTCCAGGTGCTCAATTAACAAGAACCTCTCCTCGCCTCAAATTTCATATATTCGCATCTGAAAATAAAAGAGATGAATAAAGATAACCTCTCAGCTCAAACAGGTACTAAAACAATCGGGTCTCCAGCAATCATTATTAATCTTCAGTATAACATAGAAGTACATGGTCTCTTGCAGCTGGGTTGGAGCCTTTGTTTACTAGCTGTGTGGTTCTGTAGGAATTATACTTCTAAGCACAATCATCAAATTAAAATAATGCTAGGGTAATTGTGAGGATTAAAGGATAACATTTCTAAAGTGCTTAGTAGATAAAAAGCTACTATAGTTTTAATATTTATTCAACAAATCACTCCCTTGCTAAAAATCCTTCCAAAAGCTACCCGTTGCAATCAAAAGAAATGCTAAACTCTACATATAAACCTACAAAGTCCTGCATGATCTGGCTTCTACCTCTTTGACCTCTCTCCTGTCTTCCTTGCTCAGTACACCCTAGACACATCAGGCCTTGAATAAGATAAGCACTTTCAGGCCTGTCCTCTACCTATTATGTAGATCTCTGCATTGCCAGCTCTACATTCAGAACTTCATCCAAAATCTCAAAAATTAAGCCATTAATTGATGCCCCTTACTGCCTATTCTCTACCCCATTATGTTTTACAGTCCTCTTTCATTTACTGAAATTAATTGCCAATTTCTTTCCCATTAGTATGTAAGCTCCCTGAAGGACAGAACTTTAGTCTTTTCAACCCTATATCTCCAGGACCTGGCATCACGGCCAAGCTAATAAATAAGGTGAGACACGCGACTAAGATGCAAATTTTAAGGAGATGCCCAAAATTTCAGTAATCAAGAAAATTATTAATTTAATGCAACATTCTAAAAGACCAAAATTAATGCAAAAAAAATGAACTAATCATGTTTTACATAAATATGGGATCCACCCAGCACTTGCAAGGCTCATCCCCATCCCTACCCATCCTGATCCAGGTGCTGCCTCACCCCCGGACTTGCCACCGAATTAACTGAGCAATTACCATATGCCAAGTATCAACTCTCCCTGAGGCTGCAGACAAGCAAAAGTTAAATTTAGAAAGTAAAACTGCGAAACACAAGGATTGAGACTTTTGGAATTTAGATGCTGTAGTTTCATTGAGCTATGACTAAAAGCTGAGCCCAGGGAATGCACTGTCGCCACTCAAGTGCACATTCAAAAAGTGAAAAGCTCACCATAACTAATACGGTGCAATGTGTCATCGAAGCCTTTAACAACCGATACTTCCACCCGTTCTTCCATTAATAGAAAATCAATCCCTTGGCCAAGGAAAGGCCTCCAGCCCCAGAGTATGGGGACTGAAAACTCCCAAAGCAGGACGTTTTATTTATTTTGGAGCAGGATTACTGTCTCTTGCGCTTGACCCTTGAAGGAAAGAAACGAACAAACAACCAGGACAGGGGAGATACAAATTTAATAAGCTTAAGGCCCATACAAAGCAATGGTGGCAGGAGAACTGTGGTTGAAACTAACTAATAAATAAGCTTACAAGAAAGATGTCCCACCTTCACCCCAACCGGAAGCACCTGGGAGTCGCGGCTCCACGTCTCCCGCCACCGTATCGACGGGACCCTCTAAGCGCGCGAGGATGAAGGTAGACCCACCCACCGCGGCCAGCTCCTCTCCCTTCCCTCTCAGAGAACCGCGGGGTATCCCCGGGCGCAAGCGCCAACCCGCCAACTCTGCAGCCACGGGCCGCCAAAAGCGCCTGCGCAAAAGCACTGGGCAGGGGAGGGGCGAAACCAGGAGGTAGAGAGAAGCGCGCCTAAATCCTAGAGAGGCGGGCTATGCTGGGCTGGGGGGAGGGTTCGTCTTCCGGAAAGTCTGCATTCCCGGACGACCAGAGTCGCCGCTCACCAATCTCACGCTATGAGATGATCGGAGAAAGTCAGCTTCCCTTTGTGCCCTTCGGAGATCTTCAGACAGAAGCCGGAGCTGCCTTCAGGATGAAGTCAGGACTTGCAGGAGGCCGGTTCCCACAGCGGATGGAAGCGTGGCGGGTGGGCGCATGCGTGGTAGGCTCCCTCCACGTGCGGCCCGGCCGCAGCCTCCGTCGCGCTCCAGGGCCCCGCCTCCTTCCCCGCCCCCGACCGCAGCATCCTTCCGGACGCGCCGAGCCGGGTGGAAGGAAGGAGGCTGGGCCTCGCGCCTGGCCCCGCCTCGGCAGCCTCCAATTGGGCTTGGGTGAGGGCACCTCCGCCCACCGCCTTCCCATTGGAACGCGCTTGCGAGCGACGCGCCCCCATTGGGCCGTGCGGTTTGGGCACGAAATTCAAAGATTTTAAAAGTACCAGCTGGCGCCTTTTAGGGGAGAGAGCTCTGTGAAGCGGGTGTCCAGCATCTTCGTGCGGTAGCTGCTCCATCACCTGGGGAGGACCCCACTTGCACTGGCATGAGCCGGCGCCCCTGCAGCTGCTCCCCACGCTCCCCATCCAGCTCCTGCCGCTGCAGCTCCAGCACCGTGACAGCCGCCCGGCGCCCTCATCACCCGCACAGTGAGTGAGAGGAGACGGCGCGAGGGGCGCGCAGGTTCCCGGAGGGGTACCGGTGAGGGGTGGGGGGCCTGCGACACGAACTCGACACCCTCCCGAGTTCGGGCGTGCAACTCCACGCCAGGCCTCGAGCGGGCACCGGCGGCGGTTCTTGGCACCAGGAGAAAGAGGCTGGGGTTCTGGGACGGGAAGCCTGATGTGCTGTGGCGGGATGGCGGGTCGGGGTCCTGCTTGCCACGCCGAACTTGAAAGCCTGCTCCGTTGGAGGTGTGCGGGCTGAGGCCTCCTAGGGCGCCTTTTGGAAGATCAACCTCTCCCCACACGCCTGGAATGGGCGCCAAATGCCCCTCCCCTCCCCCACCCCACCCTGGGGCTCCGACTCTGCAGGGCTCACTAGCCGGCGGCCCCCAGGGCCCGGCCAGGTGCCTAACCCCTACCCTCTGCACCCCTTTTCCATATCTGTCCCGCACCCTCAGATCTGAAGTCAGTTTCCCCAGTTTTTCGCCAGCTCAGTCTTGCTGGCGGGCGCGGGAGATCAGGCTCGCTCTTATCTCCCGCCTCCTCCGCAAGGCCCGCGCCCTGAGGGGCCACCCTTCCGACCCCACAGGATTTCCAGGGTCTTCCCCCCACCCAATCCCGCCAAATGGAGGGACCCCCCTCATCGGACCAGTCTCTGTTGGGACGTCCAAACAAAAACGTTCAGTTCTCCTTTTTGCCCTTTATCCAGTAACTCAGTCTCAAGGCCTGGAATCAGGGGGGAAAAATGCAGTTTTTAGTACAGAACCGTGAATGTGGCTATATTTAGGAGCTGATTTTGTAGGAATTGAAGAATTGGTTATTCTTTTTGCCTGTGTTTCTAAAACACTAGTTTTTTTATTCCAAACTTGGATAGAGTGAAAGGCACTCAAATAAACGTTTATTTTTATCCTCTTTGTCGCTGTCTCTAAGGGGCCTAAATGCATTTATTTTAACTCGGAAATTACCAAAATTTTAAAAATGAGCAATTTGGTATTGTAATGTTTGGTAGTCTCTGGAAGACACCTATTTCTTTAGAAAAGACTCTAGAAGACTGGAGGAAAAAGTACTTAATTTTAACAGGTTTTATCTATTTCTGGAATATCCTGCCTGGATCATAAGTCTCCCTGTGAAATTCTGAAGCTTGATGGCTCTAAGAAGGGGTCTTTTGATTGTTTAATTTCAATGGTCTCTTTACCACCTTGCTTCCCAAGAGAATATTTGAAATCTTGAATTTTTTTACTGTTTGCAGATTTGAGAAAATGAAATTTAAAAATTTATTGTATTTGAATATTTTTGAAAGTAGACTCAAAAAAATTTTTTTTTCTCTTAGGGATTATGGCTGATTTGTAGTTTATGGCGGCAAGCCTTCATGTTCTTTTAAATTTTTAAAGAAATAGCCATGCCTAATGTTGGCACATGGTGGTTCTCTTAAGGTATTAGAGATTATAGAACTTAATAACATTGGAATGGCTGTAAAGATTTTTAAGGATTGTAGCCTATTTAACTAATATGGAGTATCAGCTCTATATTCAAATGTTAAATAGATTACATTTTGTACGGTTAATATAATAGCTCTTTCATGATTGGACTGTAAGGTTTGAAAAATGCAGTATGTTGAATCTACCAACTTTATAAAATAACTATATCAACATTTTAGAGAAAATGAAAGACTGCATGTTCTAGATCACAAAGTTAGTCAAAAGACTGAACAAGGATTTTCATTTGAAGTTGGATCTGATTCCTAAGAAATGTATATAATCTGAAATGCATACATCTGCCTGGAGTATATTTTACTGCTTTTAAAATGTTCATGATATACAGTATAAGGAATATGAAGGGGTTTTGCTTATGAATAATGTGAAGAAAATACTCTAGATTCTATTGATTAGACCATATGCTGCAGGGACTCTGTCATGAGTTTAGTCCAGTTTTATTTTCTCACCCCCATTTTATAGATGAAAGAGGTAACTCAGTTTTCCTCAACTCAGCAAATGACCCTTTATACCTTAGATGCTCAAAACTTAAACCCCTGGGTATTTTTTACTCCACTTACTTTCATCACCCACATCCAATATATCAGCAAGCTCTGTTGACTTTGACTTTACCTTCCTAAGTAGATCTCACATCTATTCAATTACCTTCATTTCCGCTATGGTCATCAAATCTCAAGTACTGGACTCATTGGACTTTTGTGATACTCTCTTCTAACTAGCCTCCCTGCTTCCACTTGTACTTTCCTATAATCCATTTTCCACAGCTACCAATGATTTTTATTTTAAAGCGTAAACCAAATACCAGTACTCAGAACCCTTCAAAAGCTCTTCATTACACAATAAGACCCATCCTACCCTAAAAAGCTTATAAGCCATTCTGCCTCTCCAACCTTATTTTTCAATCATTCTCCTCCTAGCTCACTAATTTGCAGTCTTATAGGAGTTTCTCTTCCTCAACATTTGTCCTTGCTTTCAGATTTCAGAATGTCACCTCCAGCAAAGATCATCCCTAATTTCTTCCTCTCCCTACACCATTACCAAGTAGGCACTGGATAAATGAACGAAGTGGCAGAACTAGATTCTGAACCCTCATTGGTCTGATTCGAGAGGTCATGAAACAACATAATATTTTTTCTTTCTAAATAATATCAGATCAAATATATAAAACATGTTATTTCCCAAATTGTTTAGAGATACTTGGGTTGGTCACAGGAATACACTAAACTAGTTGAAGGACCTGAAATTAGTCCTTTACAGTCTGATTTCAGCTTCCTTTTGTATAAAGTGATATTTTTTTGCAGCATTTTTATGGAGATTTAAAAATGTACATTATTTCACATTTTAAAACTAAATCTATAACCAGCATCCAAATTTTGGGACCAATAAAAGGAACCAGAGTTCCTTGGAAAGATAACCGATTCTAGGGCTGAAACATGGAAAATACAAGATGATCCTGGAGCATCTTACAGTGCCAGAAAGTAAGGACTTCTCCAGAAACAAAACAATGGATGTATGTCAAATGGACATGAACTTAACAGTGGCAAAGCTGGAACAATTTGAGCAACAACATAAATAATGTAGTATTGGAATTTAAACCAAAGTCCATGTTTCTATGCTTTTGTATTTTACATATATGTATATATGTATGTACTTTTATCTCACTTCTCAGGTGACATAGTAGAAAGAATACTTAATTTACATTCAAGAAGAGTAATCCATCTCTCTTAACTACCAGTAAAACCTTTGGCAAGTTACTTAGCTGAGTTTCATGTCTTCATTTATAAAAATAAGGTAATACCTCTCTATCCTACCTCAAAAGATTATGAAAACCAAGTGTTTGGAAACAAGTTGGAAATCGTAAACTTCTAAATAATTATTAGCTATTGGAATCATTATTAGTTCTAAATTTAAAGAGCTGCCCATATTCAAGTGCAATTGAATGAAAGGGGTTCTGTAGGATAGTCCCAGTAACTGGGTTCTAAAGACAAGCAGAAGAGTGTCTTTGTGTTGAAGAGTTTCTGAAGTACAGTTTCAGGCCTCTTCCCTTTAGGCAGCTAAACAGTGGACAGGTGGGTCTTTGTAGGTGGTTTCCTCTTCATTCTCTCAGATTAAATGTCATATGTAAATCATACTTGAGACAAAAATAAAAATATCTTGTAGTATTTTACTTTTTCTGAGTGGAAGAGAACCACTCAGAATAATTTGTTCAAGTTAGGGTTAATTAGGAGATTAGAATTTATATATTCTTTACTTGCTTTTTATGTCCCAAACTCTTAGCTTAAACTTAAATTTTAGGGTTAGTTCAAATGGGGTTCTGAAGCACATAATTTATCTCCCACTATGTTAATGATCGGGGATTTAAAGAGGGGGTCTCTATCTACTAGGTTACTTTCTACCAAGGTGTCCTTTAGTATTTAGACTTAAAGGTTTTGCTCTAAATAAAAATGGTAAAATTAATATGGACAGATTACCAATATTTAGTACAGACTAAATATACTGGTATATACAATTATTATAGGATAAATTGTTAGCTACCTATGATTGGCTTGGCTTGCAGAGGGGATAGTAAATGGGGAATACATTGGAAGCACATATTATTCACATACTGCCTTCAGTAATGCTAAGTAGTTTTTCTGAACCCATTATTTTCCTTCCCAGAATAGTGCCTTTGCTTATACTATCCTTCAGTGAATGCCCTTCCCAGCCTCTACTGCCTGACAAAATCCTAATCATTTTTTAAGGCAGTGGTTCTCAACTGACTAATGAGGGAGATTCTGCTGCCACTGCCTTCCCCCCACTGCTAACATTTGGCAGTAACTGGTGGCTGGAGACATTTTTTATTGTCCTGCGTGGGGAATAGGGGCTGCTAATGGCATCAGGTGAATAAAGGCTGCTGAACATCCTACAATGCACAGGATGATGCCAACAACAATGAATTCTCTAGTCCAAAATGTCAGTAGTCCAGAGATTGAGAAAACCTGTTTGAAAGATATTTTAACCAGTTTCTGAAGCTGTGGGGGTGGTGATGCAACCCTAAACAAGTCTTTGGCTTTTTCGAAGTTTAAATTTGAATCAGTGTCTATGAATTCTAGTGAATAACATCCAGAAACAGTTGCATCCGAACAGGAATTAACACTCACTGCCCTACCAGCCTCACATTCTTCTTACATCTGGTCTTGTACTGATCAGAGCGGCATAATTCTTTTCCAAATCTTTCTTCTGGTTCTTTCGTTAATCATGAGAAATCTTTGTTCAGTAAAGATAGCAGAGTTTCTAGCACATATTATGCAAGATATGGGGAGATGTTCCTGTGCTTGAGTTTACTATCCAGTAGGGCGACCAGCACTTTAAATATGTCAGCCTGTCACCCAGAGCATCAGTCAGAATGGAACTTAGAGATGAGAGCTCTGAGTTCAAGTAGACTTTATGGATGTTTAAATATATGGCCTTTTTAGTCCTTTCTCTTTGCTACCTACAATTAATTATTCTAAGGCATATAATAATTACTAGTGTTTAAATAATATACAAGTCTTTCTATTTGTTACTTTTATCAAAACTATTTTGGCCCTTACACATTCCCCTCCCCCATTGGTCCTAACCATATTTACTCTCAGTGGTTTAAGTTATGCTTAAGTCAAAGCTGACTATAATACCATGTCAAATCCAGAGTACAAACACCGATTCTAGAAGTATTTGATTATTATAGAGATCTCCAACCTGATACCCCACTCTTGAGGCCTCACATTTCCTTATTTGTTTCATAAGCCCAGGTTTTTATTAAATAGTGCCTTTCCACTATGTTTTAATCAGTATAGTCTCTAAAAGTCAAATGTTACAGTTGTACGGATCAAAAAGCAATATGTTCTGAAGTACCCTTTTAATGATAAGATATACATATGTATATACACACACACATAAGATTTAAGTAATATTTCCGCATGTTGTTACATCTCAGTAATTAAACTTCAATAGCTTCATAGTTACATAGGCAATACACAATTCTGAGATGATACCAATTAAATCTTTGTAAATCCCAATTTAAGATGTCAGGATATGTGGAAATTTTGCTATTAAGTAAATATGTTTTGTTCTTTTTGTAGGTCGCAAAGAAGAAAGTTCTACTCTTTCTATCAAAATGAAGTGTGATTTTAGCTATAATCATGTTCATTCTGGACTTAAACTGGTAAAACCTGATGACAGTGAAAGGCTAGGTTCCTATACTTCTGCATGTTTGGAAGGCTCTTATAAAGATTGCATTAAAGACTATGAAAGCTTATCGGATATTGGGTCACCGATTGGGAGCCCCAGGATTGTAGAACTTGAAACTGAGAACAAGCCCTTGCATAACAAGGAAAATCAACATGTGCAACCGACACTTAATAGTTCAGATGAAACAGAAGAACTAGAGACAAATGGACCTTATGAAGACAGTGGCTATTCTTCATTTTCCCAACAAAGTAGCATCAATGAGCATGAAGAAGCTAGCTTTCCCCTGGAGGAAAATTCCAGTGACAGTCCACAGTCTTGCCTGCTACAAACACAAAGCCCAGACCAATATCCCAATAAAAACTTGCTGCCAGCTCTTCATTTTGCAAAAGTGGTTTGTTCAACATTAAAAAAGAATTCCAAACGAAATTCTAAAATAGATTGGGAGAAGCTGAAGAAGTATAATGTAAATTTTGGACTACAGAATATAATTGGCAGGAAAATGGGCCTAGAATGTGTAGATGTTCTCAGTGAACTCTTTGGACGGGGACTCAGACATCTCTTAGCAAATATTTTAACACAGCTCAGCGATATGGACTTAATCAAGTAAGTATCGTTGCTTTGAGTGTATTAGTATTTTACACTGAACGTGTTTATTAGGTGGCTCAACACCAACCAGCTCATGCGAAAACAGGGTAGTCTTTTCTGCGTAGTTTAATTGACTTTTACCTGATTGCTAACTTAACTGTAAACAACATCCTAGTTCTAGTATACAGGTCCAACAGACATTGTGACTTTTGTCACACTTGAAAATATAATTTTTGTTCTTTTTTAGGTTTTTTAATGTAGGGCACTCCTAGATTTGACAGTAAGGAAAATACGGTGATCCACAAATGGGCCCGATTATGACTATTTCTTAGAAATCTTTTACTAACTAACCTCATTGTACCAAAGAAAACTAGTTAGAATGAGGTAATTATGAGAATTAAAATGATTATATAGACAATTGGATTAGATTGGATTCAACTCAACTGGGATCATTTTTGGCTTTTTGAAAAATTTTTTAGAGGTACTCCCTGCGGTACTTTACACTGGTCTCTATGAACTATATAGTTAAAGCAAAACAGATATAAGTGTTGATTTTTATTGTAGGCTAGCCTGAGTGCAAGTCAACATCACAGTTTCTACTTTTTCTATTCACAAAAAGGATTTTTTCTGGTTAATTTCTACTAATAGCAGTGTGTCCTAGAGCACTTTGAAATTTGTCCACAATATTTACCAAAAAGTCAACATGGTGCCTTATATACAGTGGTGGCTACTTGATGTTTGCAAATATTGTGAAAAAATGCAGTACAAATATGTGAGTCTTAAGCCTGGATCCACTTAGAATTGATGGGATCTTTTTAAAAAAACACAGAACCCTGGACCCCATTGTAGACCAGTTAAATCTAAATAACTAGGCATGAGACATCTTTAAATCTTAAGTGCCCCAGGCACTTCTAATAGATAGCCATGTTCGAGAAGCACTAGTAATAGAAATTTCTTTTTTGCACGGTTAATGTTTCTGTAATATATTTATCTTAGATCTTTGTGATGCTTTAGTTGTTTCCATTATAATTTATTTTTCTAGTGTGTCTAAAGTGAGCACAACTTGGAAGAAGATTCTAGAAGATGATAAAAGGGCATTGCAGTTATACAATGAAGCAATACGAAGAGTTACTGTAAGTCTTTGCAGTTGATGTTTTCATTTTAAAATATAGCAGCTGGTCTAGTGCCCTTTACCTTCAGAAATAGGAGGGGGAAAATTGGTAACAGGTAATCTGGAAATCCTCTACATTCAAAAACCATTTCAGCATGTTACCAGAACTCATTAAGGAAATTCAGAGATAAAGGGAAAGGAATCCCACATCGGGCATTTATTCCTAGCAATGTAATTTCCAAAAGTAAAAAAGTGAAAATTAGTTCTGATAGTGTGAATTGATCATACAGCTAATCTTGGTTGCCATTTGTGTGTATTTTTTTCAGTTACCCAGATAAACAGTAAATTATAACATTGAAGATTCTTAATATACAAGAGAATTCATCGATCGAAGAATTCCCTTGTATATTAAAACTACTTCAAGATCGATGTTTTTAAAATTTTAGGCCTGAGAGTTGTCAGACTTTGGTCCAAATTTTGGTGCTGCTGCTTTTAGAGAATTGCTTTAATTCTCTATGTTTAATTTCTTTATTGATAAGCTGCTGTCGATGGAAAATTTTCTAATCTAAAGGGTTTTTGAATCTATTCATGACATTGAGGTGACACTTAAACATGACTGTTGCCATCTACTGGTGGTAGGAAGAATGACCTTTTTTCTGTCAGTGGTACTTAATAAATCATGTAGTAAATGCTGCATAGACTAAGCATGTAAAGTGAGTCACAATTTCTGGTTTGTAATTCCTGTCAATAACTCAGTTATTAGGCTTTACATGTGTATGTGAATAGTTTTGTGTGGCTGCATTTAAACGTGTAGGTAAATTGGATATAGGGATGAATCCTTTACATTCTCATTTGCCCTTTTTTTACATACGCAGACATTATAAAAATGCCTGACTGTTGAGAGTATAGGAGAATATTTTTAAGTCCTATTAAAACATTTCTTTTAGGAGAAGAGCATTAAGTTCTCACCACATGGTTCAACCAGAGAGAATGTTATGGTCAGAACCGCATTGGCTTCTGTTCAAAAAGCAGCAGCCCAGCCTCCCCCCAGAAAAGATGCTCGAACCAAGTTATCCAATCCAGATGATCAGAAAGATTCTACCTATAGTCGGCACAATGAATTCTCGGAGGTAACTTTTTGTTTATCAATAAATTAGAAGCATGGGGCCCTTATCATTAAAAGGACTTAGAGTAAGAAATGGAGGGCTTTACCTTTAATCAGCATAATTAGAACTATTAGGGAATTGTTAACGGAGACCTTATCTTTTGCCTCTTCTCTCAAAAATGTTGGAAATTAAGAAACCATTTATAACTCAACTGATAAATTGGGAAAGTAAAGAGATGTCTTTATGATGAAAATTATAGATACCATTTGGCATTATGACAGTTCAGTGATATCGAAATCTAATTTGGAAATATTAAGAAACTAATGAAAAACCTTGATTTTGAAATTTATAAAACTGCTAATATAAAATTCAGTATTACATTTTACAATTCCTGCCTTTAATATCTGAGGAAAAGTTCTAAATAGAAAAAGTCCAGTTTTCAGAAATTGAAGACCTCCTGTTCTACCTTCAAATCATTGGGTAATGTGTATTACAAGTTCTACTCACAGGCGGATAATTTTGCAAGCTTAATTTAAAAACCATAACCTTACCTAAGAGTGCATGTTATGACAAAGTGCTGACTGCCTCATGTTGGTCAATAAATATAAATAATGTATAATAACATTTAGTTTTCTCAATTATTTATAATGTGATGACTAATACAACATGTAAGTTTGTTCAAAAAGCATTTATTGAGCATCTGCCATCTTACCGGGTACTACATAGATAAGAAAACATGGCAACCTTTATAACCTTAACAATCTAGAATGGAAGATGGCTTACATTTAAAAATGCCATGTAATGTGGTAGGTGCTTTAAAAAAAGATAAAACTACAGGTAAAACAGCAGCCAGTTCTAGCGTGACACTAGAAAGACTTCACAGAAAAGGTGACCATTTAAGTTAGGCATTGATATGTGGTAGTTCATGAAGTAAAAGGGGAATGTATTTAAAAAGCAGCATTAGGACATTGCTACTGGACCAGTTGATAAGTGGTGCGATCTCTCACCCATTGTACAAACAGTAAGCTCCTTAAGGGAGCCAGTTGGCTTATGTGTGACATGGTGCTTTATGCACGTATTGGAGAAGGTGCCACTCTTGTTTTTCCTAACTGAATTACATTCAGCCCTTACTAAAATTTGTTAATGGATTTCCTTCTTTCTAGGTTGCCAAAACTTTGAAAAAGAATGAAAGCCTCAAAGCCTGTATTCGCTGTAATTCACCTGCAAAATATGATGGCTATTTACAGCGGGCAACCTGCAAACGAGAAGGCTGTGGGTTTGATTATTGTACACGGTGTCTGTGTAATTATCATACCAGCAAAGACTGCTCGAATGGCAAGCCTCTAAAAGCCAGTTATAAAATGGGTCCTTTGCCTGGTACTAAGAAAAGCAAGAAGAATTTACGACGATTGTGATCTCTGATTAAATCTATTATAACTGATCGTGAAGGTTAGTCAGAAAAAGTTACGTTTTAATTTGAGAAATAAAAATGTATTGTTATATTCAATTTTATAGCGAAATCAATGTACTAGATGGGTTTTTCCCCCTGGTAAATAGAGGATGCACAACCTCTTAAAATATTTTATGATTTAATGTGAAAATATTCAAAATTCTCAGTGTAAATCAGAAAATTTAAATATTTTAAGAAAAAAGGAAAACTTCATCTATATTTGCTTCAGAGGTAAAATAAAATTGTTTTCAGTTTTATAGTAAAGGAAGGCCATGTAATTTTACCCAGACAATCCTAAATATAAATTGTTTACCATCTATTAGCATTTGGGACATTTTATTTGCCTCATCAAATTAATATCTATTGAAATATCAACTGGAGTCTTAATTTAAATGCTTTGTCACCTTTTGTTCTTGACCTTGTTTTCAGTGTGTATACTTCCAAATATCCTTTGTGAAATCTTGCTTGTTTTTCTGATGTGTAAAGTCTGTTTTAATATTTTTATACATATGTAAATATATCTGTATTTTATGTGTCTAAAAGTAAATATGATTTGTATATACATGTAAAAATAAATTTTGTTATGAATAAAATTATTACAAGCTTAATAAATAATGTGAACCTTTTATTTTGATGAACATTTTAATCCTAGAAACAGCTGAATTGGGAAGTTGTAGGAGACTGCATTTGTGTGTGTGAAGGCATTGAGTGTATCATATCTGTCTTCTCTGGAGAGCTTGCTTGATTGCCATACTCCGATCTCAGTTTTCTTCCCACTCACAATATCGTAATTGTGGAGTAGGGTCTTGAAATAAGCATCTCAAGATGATTTAATATAAGGAAACATAACACATTTTGAGAAATACCGATATATTCATCTTATCACTAAACCAGTTAAACTGGGTTCGATAGCCACAAAATATAAAAATCATACTTAAAAATATGTAGGACAAAATATATTTAAATCAGCATTTGGGCTAATAAGAACTTAGACATCTTTTAAAATTGCTTGAACTTGAATTCATGTTCTGGTTTCAATTATGAATATGAGAAGTTTTATATTGAGAAACATCCTGAAGATTTAAGGTGTGGACCTCACAAGTCCTCAGTCAATAGGTCCTCTAAGAAGTTTAAGAGCTTTGCCCTTCATCTCAGCAGAAGCCTGAGATATATCTCAAATGGGTTTATGGGTGTGTCTTATCTACTAAAAGTAATACCAATAAAATTAACTGACTTTTTAAGCAGCTTTATTGAGGAAAACTTGGCAAAATGACATTAAAATGTGTAATTTGACATTTCGAAATACACAAGCATGAAACCTTTAACAAGGTAATGAACACAACCATGATCCCCCAAGTTTTTTCTATTAGTGATCCCTTCTGCCAGCTCCCCAGGCAATCACTGATCTTGCTGTCACTGTAGATTAGCTTCCCTTTTGTAAGAAATGTGTATAAATGCGATTGTAAAGTATATAGTCTGCTTTCGCCAAACATTTTGAAATTCATCCATTTTATTTGCACTAGTACTTCCTTTTTCTTACTAAATGTACTGTTGACAAGCCAGTTTATATAGTCACCTGTTGGACATTTGGCTTTTCCCAGTTTTTTGCTATTGGGAATGTGCTGTAAACATTTACATACAAGTCTTTGTGAGTAGTATGCTTTTATTTCTTGTGGGTAAACAACATTATGGAATGGTCGGATTATATGTAAGTATATATTTAACTTTTTAAGAAAATATCAAAATGTTTTCCAAAGTGCTATTACTGTTTCGCCTTCTCAGGAGTGTATGGGGGTTCCATTTTATATTCTCATCAACACGATGTAATCAGTCTTTTTAATTTTAACTAGTAAGTGTGTAATAGTATCTCATTTTAATTTATGTCTTCCTAATGACTTAATGATGTTTAGCATCTCTTCATATTTGCCATTCATACATCATTTTCTTTGGTTAAATGTCTATTCAAATGACTTGATTTTTTTATTGTGTTGTTTTATTGATAATGGAAAGTATACATTCTGGATACAAATGCTTTCTTAGGATGTCTTTTATTTTCTCAGCAGTGTCTTTGGAAGAGTCTTTATTTTTGATGAAGTCCAAACTCAGTTATTTGTCTTTTATGGATCATGTTTTGGTGTTGTATCTAAGAAATCTGCCTAGCCTAAGAGCATACATCTTTGTTTTCTTCTAGGAGTTTTGTAGTTTTCAATTTCACATTTAGATATATGATCTATTTGCAGTTAAAATACGTGGAGGTCTGGATCAAAATGAGTATCCACTGTTCCAGCACCATTTCTTGACAAGACTATTCTTTACTGTAATGCCTTTGCATCTTGGTCAAAATTTAGTATTACATAAATATGAGGAAGTATTTCAGAACTCTATTCTGTTTAATCTGTCTCTCAAATTCCAAAACTACACTGCCATGATAACTAGCTCTATAATGTCTTAAAATCAGGTAGTGACAGCCCTTTATTCTTTTTTGTTTCTTTAAAAAAGTTATTCTAAGTTTTGTCTATCCTAGTTCCTTTACATTTCTACAATTAGCTTGTCAATTTCTGCAAAAATACATAATGGGATTTTGTTCAGGATTATAACGAATCAATCTACTGGGTTAGATTAAGAGTGAATAGACAACACCAATGAGTTTCCCAATCCATGAACATAGTAGTTCTTCCATTTATTTATGTCTTAAATTTTCTCTTAGTGTTTTATCTTTTAACAGTATGTGTCCTGCACATCCTGTGTTAGATTTATCCCTAAATATAGTTACTGTAAGTGATACTGTTGATTTTGGTTTTCAATTGTTTATTAATATATTGAAATACAGTTTATTGATCTTGTATCCTACACCTTTGCTAAACTCATTTAATTATAATTAAGAGTCTATCAGATTTTCTATGTAGATGATCTTGTCTTCTGAAAATACAATTTTATTTTTTACATTACAGTCTATGTGCTTTTTTCCCTTTGCCATATAACACTAGCTAATACCTCCAGTATAATTTTCAATAGAAATGTTGAAAGGAGACATATTTGCCTTGTTCCAGGTGTTAGGAGAAAAGCATTCAGAATGATGTTAGTAGTAGAATCCCTTTATCAAATTGAAGTTCTTTTCTATTCCTAGTTTTTTGAAAGTTTTTTAAAATCAGGAATGGGTATTGGATTTTGTCATTTTTTCCCTCCATCTATTGATGTGATTATATTCTTTTAGGGTTTTTCTTAAAATATGATGAATTTCATTGATTGATTTTCAAATGTTAAAGCAACCGTGTATTCTTTGGGTTAATATCACTTGGTCGTGATGTATTATTATCCTTTTTATATATTGTTAGAATGAATTTGCTACATATTAAGAATTTTTGCATTTATATTCATGAGGGATATCTATCTGTAGTTTTCCTACAATGTCTTTGGGACAACGTCTCTCCTTTTTGATTTTTTGGATATTTGTGTAGAATTGGTATTCTTTCTTCCTTTAGTGTTTGCTAGAATTTTCTAAGGAAGCTATCTAAATGTGTGCGGCATGCGTGTGTGTGTGTGTGTGTTTGTTGGGGGGGAGGTCTTTAAAATAGTTTTGTCCATAGATATAGTGCTATTCAGGTTATCCATTCCTTCTTGGGTGAGCTTTAATAGTTTATATTTTTAAAGGCATTTTTCCACTAATCTAATTTACTGAATTTATTGGAATAAATTGGTCACAATATTATCCTTTTAATATTTGTAGAATCTGCACTGATGCCATTTATCTCGTTCCTGATATTGGTGAATTGAGTCTTCTCATTCTTTTACTGATCAGTCTGGTGAGAGGTTTATCACTTAGAGTGATCTTTTCAAAAAGATCAATTGTTTTTTTTAATTGTTTACTTTCTTCTCTTTGGGTTTAATTTCCTCTTTTTCTCGATTCTTAAGGTGGAAGCTGAGGTTGTTGATATAATCTTTTCTAGTAGAGATGTTTAGTGCTGTAAGTTTTCCTCCAAGTTCTGTTTTAGCAACATACCATAAATTCTGATATTTTTGTTCATTTTTAAATGCCTTACAATTTTATTTTTGATCTCTTCTTTGATTCATGAATCATTTATAAGTATATTATTTAGTTTCTCAATACTTTAGATTTTTTCTGATATCTTTCTATTGATTTTCATTTCATTGTAGTCATAGCAGGTGCTTAATTTGACTGGAGAATCTTTACAAATTTATTTAATTTATTTATGTTATGGCCCAGAATATGACTTATCTAGATAAATGTTTCATCTCTATTTGAAAAGACTAAATTTTGCTCTTCTTTGATGTAATAATGCCTTATAAATATCAATCATGGGTCAATTTGATTAATACTATTTTTCACGTCTTCTATATCCTCACTGATTTCTATGTACTTGTACTATTATTGCGAGATGAGTATTGAAATCTATATTTAATTCTATGTTTAATTTTTTGGGGAGAAAACTGCCAAACTGTTTTTCACAGCAGCAGTATTATTTTACATTCCCACCAGCAATGTATGAGGGTTTTAATTCTTCCTTTGTAATCTAGATGAGACATAAGAGTTTAGGGAGAGGACAAGTGTATTTTTCATATGAGAGGGATGTGGGTTATTGAAGGCCAGAGGGCAGACTGTGTTAGCCAGCCTCTAAAATGTCCCCTAATGATCCCAACCTCTTGATATTTATAACTTTATGTAATCCCCTCCCACACTGTATCAAGTTTGGTTTATGTGACTAATAGAATACAGCAAACTGATGACATTTGACTGCGGAGACTAGGTTACAAAAGATATATTGATTTCTACGTCTTTCTTTCAGATCAATCACTAGGAAAAAGTCAATAGTGAGCAGCCAACAGCGAGGCCCACGTTGTGAGGAACTTAGGTCGTGGAGACTTGCGGCCTGCTGCTAATTCTGTGAGTCTCAAGAGCAAGTCCTCTAGTCAAGCCTTCAGACGACTTTGGTCTCTGCCAACACTCTAGGTACAACCTGAGTCACCCAACTAAACTGCTCCCAAATTCGTGATGCCCTCTAAATGGTGACATAAGTGTTGTTTTAAGCCTCTTAGTTTGGGGATGATTTGTCACGCAGTAATAGATAACTAATACAAAGTGGGCACATCCTTCTAGGAGCATTGGACAAGAGAAAGATGAGCAGAAGTCTTTTCTCACATCCTTTGATTAGCTACATAAATTAATATTAAGACGATCAAGTCTTCCCCAGGACTCTGAGACATGTAATTACTTGGCCTATAATCAATACTGACATAGGTACAGGATAAGCCACCTTGCAGCTATAGAATGTTCCCTAAAACAAGAACTGACATTCTCAGGCTAAAATAGGTTTGAGACTAGTATAATCACAGAATGGACTGTTTTAAGTCAGCTACACAATGGAGAATAAATAGCATAGATGTTAGTATTTTCGTGGTTAATGTGATATAGATGGTACTTAAAAAATTATTTTTTAGAG